ATATGACAGTACTGCAGTAAGAGAGCATTTGTCAAGGAGTTACTTTAGGTTTAGGCGCCTGTGGATTTAATATCCAAGGCTGGTCATAGATGTTCACATTTACAGGCCATTCATAGGTTATGGTGAGTAGCTGGAAATACCATATGTGTATTTAGCTCAAGGCATTTCAGTTATTAAATTATACTGAACTCTTAAGACTACCATTACAACAACTGAGTGTGGAAAAACAAGATTTTGTGTTATTAGATCATTTTAAGATGTCACAGATTTACCGTGCTACAAGTTTGAAAATGATAAAGCATGATTCATTTTATAATCTCATAATAATTTTCTGATGATTTTAAGCACAGCATTTCTTTCATTATTTGGTCAGTTAAAAGAATCCAAAACTAAACGTATGCAGAATACAGTGAATGATAAATAAGCACACAAGCAAAATGCTCTGAATTTAAGCAGTATTTTTCAGAGAATCTGACTGGGAATTTACAGTTTACAAACTCTGAACATCATCTCCTCTATGTAAACAATCTGGTATGGTGGAGTACTTTCTCTCTCACCACATGTCCCACATATTCAGTGGAGCAGCAAGAGGAGGAGGGACAGTAAGACAGGAGTATAAATACTTGCCTTCACACAAGTGTAATACATGGACCAGCAGCTAGAAGCAGGAATACAGGTAGACAGTCATACGGGTACATGGCACTAGGCAGGCAAACCAGTGGCTCTGCAGGGATGCTCTCGGACCTTTATGACAGTGCTCTGCCACTTGCTTCTCTCCAGAATGCTTGGGTGTTGGACCACACTTGCTACACATAGAAAAAGAAATTTCTGCGATGTCTCTGGTGTAAGAAAATGTATGTTGCATCCCATCTGGAATCATGTACCATCTATGTATAGTTCATGGCTCCCAGATACATGAAAACAAGCAGTTTACTAGCCTCTCCAGTCTCAGTCTAGCTGTCAGATATATTGTAATTGGAGGGCTGTACCAGATGTATTCATCCTCTTGCTCTCCCTTCATTCTAGCTAGCTACTTTATTATTTGCAACTGTTTGGATACCCAAACCTAATTGTTGTCATATGATTTTTAAATTCTTTTCTTTACTTTTCCACAATGTGGAAATTTGCCTGGTTCTCCACAGGAGAGGCTCATTTAGCTCCTTTTCAAGTAATGAAATCCTTCCTGGAATTTCTTGATTGCTACCCCAGATTAATAAAATACTCTATTTGTAAGAGCCTGCTTTCAGGGAAGTTGTTTAAAGTTGTATTTGGGTTCATTATCCACCCACTCTTCTGTCACCTTCAGCAGTAATTTTTTTTATTGCATTGTTTTTTTCCAGGCATACTCATCTTGGAGTTTTCACTCCCCTGCTGCTTCCCCTTTTGCCCCTTAAGGTGGGAAAAACTTCAACCAGTTCTATTGTACATGTCTCCACTGAGGCAAAAATCACAACCCGTGGAGTGGGAAGGCCCTGGAGATCTGTATGTAAGAAACCTTATCTCATCTAGTGACATCCCCTGCTTTGCGTGCTGTTCCAGTGGTTTCTGCCCTTTGGAGTAGAAGTTTTGTGGCTTAATAGTTGACTCCAAGAGTAGGCATCTAAATGTAAACCCAACAGTCTGACAGCCTCTTTTTTGTTTTAGATCAGGCAATTTAAACCCACTTTTGCTCAGCTAATGCCCTGAAATGCCTTGACAGTGCTGAGTCATTCAGTGCCTTGGTCACACATCCCGGTTTGATCATTGTCCAGAGATGGGATACCTTCCCATGTTCATGCTTTCTGTTCCTGGGGATCCTGAGAATATGCCTCTGCACAAAATGCAGTGACAGCCACAATTTCTTTCTTTCCACTTCCTATGGAAGTGTTTTAATTGCCAGTATGTTGGCTAGTTTTGGCAATTTGTCCATTGTCTTTATAAAGTGATACAGAAAAGGATGCGAGAATCACGAGACCGGAGAAGGTAAATGCTTCAGCAGCCTCGCAGGTCATCTGCCCAAAACAGGGACTTCTGGATTCCAGTCCCTGCTCCTTGTACGGGGTTTTGTCAAGCAATTTCCAAGTGCAGGGACATATTCTTTTTACAAGCTATGTTATCTCTCGCAAGAAGCATAATTTGATAGCAACTACCACAGCAGCTCATGTCTCTCTGAATCCAGACTGCCATTATCCTGCTCTTCATCTCTGCTCCAGGCAGTGTATTTCCACCCCCTCTGATACGCTGTCCCCAGCACTTTTCTAACAGGGAGCCATTTTCATTGAATCTCATCTGTGCATACATGTGTGGTTTTTTTGACTGTGTTAATTTCTAACAGAGCCATCTCACCATCACTCACATGCTACTGGCCATGAAAGCAAGCCCAGGAGAACGCACAGCTCCCAGGAACAGCATCTTACGATGTCCCTATACTAAGTACTGTCTGTTAACTAGTTTGGCTAGTTTCCCAGTTTAAAACAGTTTGTGATGTTTCTGGATCTTGTGCAATTCTCTGCATGCATTTTTTGGAGAGCCTAGGTGACTAACTTCAGACTCAGTATTTCACTGCAGAGATTTAATACCTGAAAGTTTATTTTTACAGCACTACAACTCTTTTGAATCTAGGTTGTAGCTTCTGAATCAGGGTTAGAGAGAGTTAAAAGTTAACTGTTTCAAACCAGAACTTGCAACCTCAGGCAAATTACCTAAAACCACTTAGTAAAAAACCATGGCGTATAGGTATGGCTGCTTAAAAAGGAGAAGGATTATGAATTTATTGTCAGGAGAAAACTGTAAACAGTTATGCAATGGATAGCTTTGAAACAGAAACTGGAAAAGTTCCTGCACAATTATATTACTTGAGTTTATTTTTAAATTAAGGTAGACATATAAATAGGTAACTCAGCATTGTGTACTTTTAAAATATACATATATATTTAGGTATTTTATATTAAGATTTTCAAGTGGGTAGCAATATTTTTATGGAACTCTACTAACTAATAACAATGTTCCTCTGTGGGAGGAATTTGTAAGTGAAAGTAGTGGTGAAAATTGACATTACCCATTCAGGATTAAACACACCCCCATGTATTTAATTGTGTGTGTAAGAAAAAGAACATAATATATCCAAGGGCACCATCTGCTGACAGGTTCAGGGTGCCAAATGCTTTCATGGATTTTGAGATATGGAAAAATACCGTACATTCAGACCTCACATATATTAGAAAATACTCAGTTTTGGTTTGATTTTAAGGAGAGTTCAGACTTGGTATTGCTAATTAGTTTTGTTTGAGATTCATTTTTTGAGTAACGAGCTTTTGGTCTGATTCTTTTCCTTCTGCAAGCATTAGTCTGGAGTTCTTTTGCTTGAAAGTGCCCTCAGTGGGACAAGACAGCAAAAGACATCATTATGTAAAGAATATGTGCAATGTTGAATTAAAGCAAAGTAGCAAAGTGAAAAATTAAAATTCCTTTATAATTTTTTTTCTCATTTTGTTTCAAAGCACCTTTATACTGATATTTAGGTGGAAAAGGAAAATCAGTAACTACAGAAAATCAGGCAGTACAACCAACAATATGCTGCAAGTCACTGTTAAATAGTATTTCTTTTTTTTTCAGGCTGGTAACTTTATGACATAAAATAATTTTTATTGACTTACTGTCAAAATGGGCAAGGAGGGAAACTGCCAGTGTGACTTTAAACGTCAGAGGATTAGCAGGGAGCAGCCTGCAGTACGGGATATTCTGCTGGCAGCTAGGAATTCATCAGAGCTCAGACAGAAGTTAGCATCATAAAGCTACCCAAAGCTGCAGATTTAACAGTTACCATTTTATCACAATTTACAGCTGGTCTGGGCATCAGTTGGCAGTTCCCTAAGCATCCACTGTGTATTTTCTTACATTATTAGAGTTTTCTTAACTTACAGAAGAGAACAAGAGCTGGTTTTACAAAAAGCCTTCATGTAGGCAACTATCACATAATTTAGTTGCAGTGTACACGCCTTCTCTGCTGCCAAGAATTTGGCAGATTTTGAGCAAGGTTTTATTGAGCACTGATTACTGTCTATCCAAGGGGTGCCTCTATAGCAGATGGCATGTCCCACTACCCTGCCTTGTTTTCATCTGTCTGTCCTTACACTTCCAGCTTCTTATAGAGAATTCTGTGGCAGAAAGGCAAAGCTATCTAATGAAATGACCAAAAGAAGGAAAAGTCTTACTTTTTTGTGATGGTGAGCTGCTCTAGTTCAAGGCACTTGTACATTCATGCTACACAAAAAAAAAAAAAAATTCTGACAAAAGAATTTGAATGATATACACTGCAAAGAAAATTAATTTCAAGTGCATTTATTTTGAAATAAACAAGAATATTATATGCATATATTCATATTTATATTAAATAACTTATTATTAAACATGAGAAAAAATACTCTTAAAAACTAATCTGACACTTTCACATTCTATTTTATATTAAGTGACTATAGTTAGGAAATATATAGAAATACGATAAAATTGTCTCAAGCCAGCCATAAAAGCAAAGTGCACAATTGGCCTAGGGCTGTGGAGGAGCAAAACGATGCTGCTGCTGCTTTCTCCAAGGGGAGGATCACTGTGAGTGAGCAGTGGTGGATGAAGAAGGAGGACGGGAACCCCCTTCAATAACTCCCTATACTTTCTTCCCATTTTTTGTCCTTCATCACTGAAGTAGCATATCGGGTTTTGCATATACTGACAAGCAGCAGTGAGACATACCATGTACCAAGATGATACATTTAATACAATTAATTCCCTAAATGATCACACAGGGATTGCAGATTATCCAGGTTCTATTGTGTCTTTATCCCAGTTTATTTGATATTTCCTGTTGTTGGTAGTTTAAGGACGCCAAGGTGGAAATTTGGTAAGTATTTATCCTGAAATATTGAATAAAGTAGCATTTTTTAAAAGCTTTCTAAACTGTTTTTTTTCTCAGATAAAAGCCACAGTTAGCACTTTTTTTCCTAAGATTCCCAGTGGAAATTAAAAAAAAAAAATTCCATTTTGTTTTGATTTTTTAGCATAAAGTAAACATTTCTAAACTTAAGGGTACTTACACAGATGCTATGCATCTTTTCTATTCACATGTGATACAAGATGGTATTTGAGCAACACGTTCACTAAATACAATTTTGAAAAGTTTGCTTATAGGTATTTGGAGTAATAAAATATTTAAAACCATTACTTTGATTGTATTTTAATTGTTAGACCACCAAATATTTGGCTTTCTGATAACAGTTTATTAACACAAGTTAATATTTCAAGGCACAGATTGTTCCTAATATTTAATGTCCAGTGAACCTTTTCAAGAAAGATGAAAGAAATACGTGTTTGTTTGGGTTTAATTCACACTGCCTAACAATCACCTTGAAAGGGAGTAAGGAAAAACGTTGCTGCTGAATTGAAAAAAAAAAAAAAAAGTTAAGAGAATATAAAACCCAAATGTAACAGTGTCCTTACTACTGTTTCAGTAACATCTAGAACCTACAGGGTATGAAAGGTCATGGTGGCTACTGATTGCCTGTAGTCTCCTTAACCTTTGTAAGGCCTAATTTACGTCTAATATTTGATGTGTAATATTAAAATAATATTACTTAGTGCGTGTTGCTCTGTACTGCTGCATGCATTCATGTTTTGTTTTTCATTTTTGACACAAACACAAGTTATCTATTTTTCAGACACTGCATTCCAGTGTAGCAAATGAGACAACTATAATTTCTATTCAGTGCCACATCTTATTTTATATAAAGTGCACTATTCACAAGAAACACATGAAGTTTTACTCTACCATAAATATACCAGTGAAGTTAAATGTATGGCAATAAAATTTATATTAAATATTACAAAGTGTGTGTTACTTAATGTAGATTTGAACATTTTGACTTCTTCAACATACTACTTGTAAGACATCTTAAAATTTGCACTATTTTTTAAAGGATAAATTAATAAACATAATAGTAAGACTTGGAAAATCTGAACATTATAGTCCATACAGTACCATTCCTAAGTAAATACCTATCATTCACATTATAACCATAATAGCTTTACTTTTTTAAAGTAACATCTTTGTTAGCTTCTAAGAGTTTAATTTTTACATTCAACTCATATGTAATTGTTATGCTACTTAATGTATTCTCATTATTAATTTAGCACAAACTTTTAATAGTGCTCTTCTGAGCACAGTCTAAGCTGATGCAGGCAGTTTCTCTTCATTGCCAAAACGTTTTCCTACCAGGTATAAAATTTATTTTTGTTTTAAGTGACAAACATATCTCAAAATAATAAAAAATAATATTCAAAATGTGTTCTTAAAAAAACCCCAACCTTCTGCCAATCAGATGATAGTTTGTTGTTTAAATAAGATAGCAGTTTTAAGAGATGATAACCACTACATTAAGTGGAAAAGAAGTTCTGTGTTTTCTACTGCAGCTGGAAGATTCACAACTCAGCTGGGTTAGTTTGTTCTTCATTAAGAATTCATAGGAATAAATAGTTCTAACCAGTGCAGGTATTCCTTCTTTCTTCCTTTATCTCAGCATGTCTCGTCTCCGAAATTGCTTCCATAGATCTCTGAGATGTTCACTGGTTACAGTCATCACACAAGAGTAATATTCCTTCCAACCATACTTTGGAGTCTCCTGTGAAAAATGAAAACCGTACAATTGGAAAAAGATATTGTTCAATAAATTTCTTAATATTATATTACATTTGACTCAGATTCATACAAACTAAATATATGTTTTAATATTAAAATCATGGAAGATCAAATAATTCTATGTCTCAGAACTACTTCTGTAATATGAAGTTTATAAATCCATACATAGGTTAAGTATTCAGAATGCATCTTCAACTCACAGCACACAGTTAGCTTTCAACAAATAGCTAATGTTTATTAAAAGCTGTAAGAAAGGATTTCCTCTTTATTCATGTACATCCTGCTCTCTGTCTCGGTTTGTTTCTGGCTTCTTCATGTTGACACTGTACTAAAAAATTCACCTCTAACACCAAATAAAAAGTATAGAAAACTGATGCTCATGAGACTGAGGCATTAGCAAAACCCAAATAAAATAGGCAGATGATATGAAAGCTTTTTTATACTAGATTACCTTAATCCTAAACTGTGCCATAGTTCACTGACATTAATAAGTGCCCACTGAATGGGGAGGAACATTGGCCAAAGGCTGGCCTGGGAGAATCACTAGACTGTACGCTGTCTGTAGTTATCACTGTATCTCATTATTTCTTCTGCTATTCCTGAGTCCACAAGCCTATGTTGACAGTAAGTACAGAAAGATAGAGAGGGGCTAAATATTACATCAACTGGGAAAAGAGGCGGGGCTAAATATTATATCAACTGGGGAAAGAGGCTAAGTAAGGAACAGAAATTGTAGATAGAAGCATTTACAAGTTATTTTAAATTGTAATTAATTTCAGAAATTAAGTCCTGTATCTGGAGGTAAATGGTTACAGTGTCAAGATGAGAGATTGTCTGATAGCTTGTTTTGGTTGAACTGAGTGAGGAAGTTAAAAAATACTGCGACATTGCAGTATATTAAAACTAACCATTAAAGAGCAAAGCCTACTTTCCATTTATTCTTATTAGTCATCTTGTATAATTAAAAAGCATAGAACATTATGCAGAAGTTGTAAATATTCAGAAAGCAATCTAATCCACAGCAGTATATAATCCAGACTTTAAATACTAGAAACAATACTTACATGAATGCATAATTTAGTTGAGATTTACAGTCAATCTTATGAAAAAAATGCATTACTTGCAAAATGCATTGCATTAACAAAAGCACATTCAGCTGATTAACCAGTGCTTTAAGATACGCATTTATTTTTTAATTTATGAAACAGGTTCAGAGAAATGTTCATGAAAATGAGTAAAAGAAACACTGAAGCACGTTAATCTTCTTATTTCTAATGTATGCACTGTTCTTATCTACTCTCAGTGTACCAAATTCATCGAACATTTTGTCCAGATACTCTGCAGTGCTTTCACATTTCACTCGTGCATTTCCCTTCCACTGTATGCAGGTGTTTTTAAGGTTCTAGTCAGGTTTAGGATCAAAGTTTGGGTTCTGTAACTTGCAGTTACTTTTGTAAGAGGAGTAAGGAAGGTGTGCCTATCACACACTTCTGACTTACCTCTTCTTTAAGGCAGATAATAACACACTTCTGACTTTATCTGCTTTAAATAAGAGGTAAGCAACAGTCTCAACTAGTAAGCAACAGCCTCTTTAGTTTTGGGGTTTTTTTGAAAGCTGTCTTTTACAATAGATGCGTTTGACTGCTGCATATTAGGAAAAGTATGGGAATTAAAGTTTTCAAAATACTAACTACATGAAAAACATTAATCTTACTTGACTGTAAATACTTCATTCAGAAACAGCAATTTATTGTTGAAACTTGTCTGGAAATAAGATTCTGAATCCATGCTTCAGCCTTTTGTGTCTTTCTCAAAAAGAAATTTCCTTCCTCAATCAGGTTGAGGTTTTAGCCGTTAACTATTATTTCCTAAAAAGCTTCAATCAGAAATTTAGAAACCCCATAAAATTCTGAACATCTAGGAAACAGTTCCTTTAATGAAAAATCTTAAGATTTTCAAGAAATTACTGAGACATACAACTTAATTTCTAGATTTACAATTGTGACATATAGTATTTCCTTTCAATACTTTAGAAGCAAAAAAAAATGGGAATTACAGCTTAAATATCTATTACAGTTACTGAGCACCAAACGGTTGAGCAAACAGTACCTTCAGATGGACCTGAATCCCTCCTGAAGTTGGCCTCTAGCATCCTTCTTCAGAAATTAACTCTGAAAACGTTTTGTTTGAAATTTCCTAGATAGCCCTTCATAAAGCATTCAAAGTGGAGCTTTCCTCCTGGCTGTTTGGCAGTTCCCTACTAACATGTTTTTTTCTGTTCTCCCTACAGTATATGCAAAGGTGTACTTGCTGATGCTGTCAGGCTGTGTGCCCTGCAGGGAGAGCAGTGCAGAAAGAAAAGCTCTACAAAACACTGCCAGCTGTTTAGACCACACAGAGGTTGTACAGTTGTTCCCCAAGGAGAGATTTTTATTATTTAAGGATATAACATTCTTTATGCTGTTAAGTAAATTACATTAGTACAATTCAGAGATATGTAATTTACAACACAATGTGCTGTTTATCCCTTTTCCGGGTGCAGGTTCAAAGTATGGTATTATCTATGGTAGGTACACCAAGTATCTCAATCTCTTTCATCAGAGTTCTACATTTACCACAGAAAGTATATGAAAGCCCAGAAAATGATCTGTACATTTATATTTGGAACAAAGTAAGATTAAGAGTTATTGTATTGCACCTAACTTTGGGATGTAACTACAGCAGATTTTCATATTTCACATATATTTATGTGGGGGGTTTTTGTACATCAGGTGGAAATTTAATTACCCACTTGAAATTTCTCAATTTCAAATCTTCAATGATTCCATCTTTACTATCTTTTCAATTTAGAAGCTAAATAGAAAATAATTATTTTTAGAATTATGTAAATTCACTTTCACTCCACACTGTACAGCAAAGACAGAATTAGTTCTGTTCTCCTCCACAGTAACTAACTCCAAATCACTTCATGTGTTTTGGCTAAAGTTTCTATTTCCATTAACTGACATTTGCAACAAACTTTAATAAATATTTACAACAAATCTGAAGAAATAGTGTAAGTTAATTAAGTAACACTTTGCACAAAGGAACTCAGATAACAACTAATTATGTTACTGTAATTCATCATAAGAAACAAGGAGCCATTGCTCAAATGAAGGACAGTAGCTGACTAATATATCTGCAGGAAAGAGATTTTATATATTTTGAGATTTACACTGCATTTCTGAGTGCACGGGGAACAGATACCCAATACAGATCTCCACAGGCAAGCTTAGGTACTAGAAGCATTCTTGTTACAGCATCCAGGACCTCCAGGAGGGAAGAAGAACAGGGCAAATAACCAGCAACCTCTACACTGCATCAGTGAGGCTGCCTGGGGCCAGGTCAGTGCATTGAGAACTAACCTGGTTTCTCTGTCTGTCTCCCAGCATGTAGTGTAGACATACTATTATTAAACTTTTTATTTTTTCCTTGAGAATGACTTTGTAGAGAGTGAACAAAATCTCCCTTAAAATCTCTGCTGCATATTCTTCTCCCAGTATTCAGATCTCTGTCAAGGTGTCAATGTATGTAAACTCAGTTCTTTTGTCACAGTCTCTCTTTTAGTCACCGAGGCAATTTTATTAGGCTTGATGATTAGATATTGGATTCATTTGTGTCACTGCATTGTTTCACTTGGTCACATACTCTTCACTAAAATTATTAGAAAAGCATCATGACTATATAGCACTTCGCTGCTTTCCTGTAAGAGCTGTTCCATATCTTGAAAAGTTTACAGTTTAAACAATAATTGATAGGCAACTACAATGTAGTTTGTGGCAGAAATAATGGGGATAAAAACCCAAATGTACTCCTAAAAATGATTTTTAAAAAGACATGGGAAAAAAAGAAAGCAAGTTTTGAGAGTCAAAAGTTTCAGTGATGAAGTTACATAAAATTAATCTAAAGCCATGAATTTTCTCTTATGTGAGTGGTGAGTTGCATTACTAAAATTTGGTTTAACTATTTCATTAGTCATTTACACTTCCCAGTACACATTCCCACTTTGCAGAAATGAGATTTAAACCAGAAGCTCAGAACACTCAGTGGCATACAAGTGCTCATAGAGGCATATGATAGGAAAGGGGATGATTCAGATGCCAATATGCTGATGTACAGAGGCATCTGAAGATGGTTATTTGACAAGAAATCTCAATATTGTGCCTCTAAATTAAAAACAGTAGAGAAATGTCAGTCAAACCCTCCTGGGCACAGGAGCACTCACACCAGACCACTGGGTACTAGGCCCTGTTTGTCATGGTGTACATCTCTTTGTTCCTCCCCACTGCAAAAATAATACATTCAGGATCTACATTAGTCATTAACAGTCTTCATGGCAACTACAGCAAAGTCTATAAATATAAACAGGAAAAAAGTGCTGGCATCAAAACCTTAAATTGCAAAGGAGCAAACTCTTGCTTTATGTAAGACAGAAATGTCTACTAAAACATTTCTGTTGTGTCCACCATGTGACAGTTTCACAATATGGCTTCAGAATATACACATCAGTTTTTACACTGAAACCCACAGTACAATCTAATTGTAAGAATGAATATTAATATGGCAGATACACACAAACAGGCATGGTGGTCATGTGTGGGCACAGTGCTTATTTTTGAAAATTGCTGGCATAGCATTAATAGTGCCAAAACCCACATTATTGTTTTCAAAAAGCTTAACTATAAATCAGAGTAGAATCAACTTACTAACAGTCTCTCAGAAAGAAAAATCCGTCTTTACAGTCTTCATTGGTAAATACTTATTAGCTATAGGTATCTGAAAAATTACTGGAAAGTGGTCACAGGACAGACAGAAAACAACAACAGAAACTATGAAGGAATACTTTTCCCTGTTCCAAACATAGTACAAAATTGCAGCTGGCTTACAAAACAGCAACAGCGTGAGTCAGTCATTGCCAACTCAAAAATAAAATTTTATTGCTTCAGTTTAAAACACGACGTGACACTTTGAGCGAATACATTGCTTACAGCCAGATAACCTATGCCTGAGTTTTGGAACAGGAAACACAGCAGTGACAGTTTAACATTCAGCCATTCCTGCAAGCATGCCAGCACACTCAGACTGGGCGGCTAACACATACCGTCATTTATCTGCTATAGAGTTCCTTCCTCACGCAGGATTTGAAAGTAGTATACCTCTGTATAGGTTTGTAGCCCTGTGGAGCAGAAGATGGAGAAGTGCACAGATGCAGACAACATGTGAAGGCAGCCAGAGGTAAGCATAAGACAACGGTATCATGAAAATACAAAAAAATGGCTTTAAGTGACAAATAGTTAGAAGATACAATATAGATTGTGTTAGGTAAAATTTTTATCGTTTAGTCATTAAGTTCCAAATCTTTCAGTTTAAAAATGGAATTTATAAAGGAAAGGGAATCTTCTTATATATTTTTAAATTTAAAAGAGGAAATAACTATTTTAAACCAAACAGCAAGCAAAAATAAAGCTTTTCGTGTCTGCACATTTTAATGAGTTTATGGCGGCAATACTTTGACCGACCACTTGATGGCAGCTTAAGATACTAGTTTGTTTCAAACTACTAAAACCAAGAAAGGTCTCAGATTACAATATTGTATTCCAGAAACAGAGAAATTTCATTTGATAAACTCTTTGAGACATTTACTTTTCAAAAAACTGTATTTAAAATACATGTTAAAATGAGTATTTATGATGTTCCTATAAGAGGTAGTACCCGATCTTCCTCAAGTTTATCGCTAAGCTTTTAAATAGGACAAAGCTGGTAGGTACTAACTGACCTTTCAGAACTCTAGTTTATTGTACTTGTGTAACTCTCTGATATTAAACGTTTTAGTCAGACTGTATAACTACAAAATACCCTTTTCTAAAAATACATGGTCCTAGTACTAAGCTCTATGAAACCCTCAAGATTTTTCTGAGCAAACATTTTAGTAAAACAACTTTTGAAAAAGTTGAATTACTAAGTATAAGATGTTAATTGTAAAATCATACTTCAAATCATAGGCCTACTTTAAACTGTTGTTTTGAGATTTTTTTAGAGTGATAATCAGAAACCCCACTGATTTGGGCAGACATTAATTGTAATATACTTAACATTAAAATCAGGCATTTACACTTTATAAACAGGTTCAAATTTCTCATGGCAAAAATTTCCACGTTGCTACAAAATACTGCATAAGCATAAGCTATAATGTTCTTTTATCTGGAACTTACCAAATCTTAGTATCAATTCAAAACACAGTTACTAACAAAGAAAAGGTTAGTTTGGATTTAGCACAAGACAACAATTAAGCCCTTCACTGTAGGAGCAAGAGGGTAAACTTTTATTTGTTCTGGCCTCACTATATACTGTGTAGCTTTTAATGTACCAACAACAGGAAGCAATTAATGACACCTTTCACCAATCTGTTCTGGGCAAATTGTTCTTATGTGTTTTCTTTTCATTCTAAACCAAGATTGGGGTGGGTGGGAGGTGTTTATTAAACTGAAAAGGCACATTTTTGCAGAGCTTTTACTACTGCCCACTCTTGGAAAAAACCAGGTTTGTGTGACACTTAGAAAAATTTACTGGCAATTTTAATTCCTAAATTTGGTACTGTAATTGTCTCGGAATACTACTGATTAGTAAAGAGTAATCTAACAAGTCTGTATGTAGGCATGTCTGAATATTACTGAATTAAAGGACCAAATCATGATCATCTCCTGTGCAGTCCCAGAGAAATCTCTTATCTAATTAAAATTATTAAACATTCACGAAAGACAGGGCTATTCTTCTGAACACCTTTGGCTATTCCTTATAGTTCTTTTACAGTCCACTGAAGATTTTACAGTGGTCTAGGCAAAAGAAACAGATGCATAACACTGAATAGTGCTGGATGATACAGATTCTTAAGGATTATATGTGATTTCTGTCATGCATTTTGTGAAATAGAAACATGTAATGCATTTACAAGAATTACTTAGTAAGCAGACTGTTTTCTGGTTAAATTAACATAGACTGCACACTTACAATTAGTAAACAGTAGAAACATATAGCTGAACATCTTGAAACAGTTATGAAACAATCATCATTTCCACACCATAATAAAAGGAATTGAGGACCAACAAGGAAATAAGTTTGTTACAAATGCAGTGGTTGTTATCTACATTTTATGTTCAATCATAATATTACAAAATTATGTAATGGACTCAACACCACTTCACAAAATTCTAAAATTATATTTAGGAAGCTAACTAAAAATGACTAAAATAACATTACAGAAAAACATACTGAAATGTGAATTTAGGACTCATAATACAATTTAAGATTTATGTCTAAGGGATTAGGTTGTCAGTAAGAACACCATTTTACATTTAGTAAAAAAAAGTTAACACCTGCCATATGAAGAAAAAAAATGTGACTTTCATTGATCATACTGTAAAAAAAATTTCTGCTACTATAAAATTCCCCTTTTACCACACAGAACCTGAAGAGGGCAGCACCTAAAAGGCAAAGCCTGATTTACAAGCTTGTTCCCTATGAAAATTTTCTGGAAGTAATTTCCTGCCCTCTAGCTTCTTATAATTTAATATATTAGATACAGGGTTAAATTATTAAAAGTAACTTTGATGTAGAATATAGCATTTTTCAGCACCAGTTCACTAATTCTTTATTTGAAAATGAAAACTATTTTCTGCTGCAACTTTCCAACAGTCATTATCAACACTTGGTATTTTAAATGTTTTAGAAGGGCTAGTGGTTGACCTTTTAACTAAACTGCCCGAGTCTGAGACAGACAAATGCTCTTTTCCTTGCAAACAACCCAGACATAATTTCTAGCCTTATTAAAATTCTTAATGCCCATATCAATCTCACAATACAGAAGAAATGACAGAATACAGAGGATTTCTCATCTCCAATTTGGTTTGTGTGCTATAAAGGTACATTATGTCTTCTATGTATTGCTTTCTGATAATAAAATCAAGAATTTAAGAAGGAATTTATCTGACAGACTGCTTCAGGATTTCTATTAAAACAGATGCACTGTTGGTTTGCAACCTAGAGGTGCTAAAGTAAGTAGTGGTAAGTAGTAAAGTCAACTAAGATAACAATAAAAATTAGAATCCTTACCCTAAACCCCCGATTAAGTCTGTCTTTCATTATGCCGATAAATTCTTTATAACTCAACTGGTCATCTCTGTCAACATCAAAAATCTTGAACACTGTGTTCACCAAATGTGGTGAAAGCTTCACACCTGTGGCTACATACACAGCACGTTTGAATTCGTCTGCATAAAAAGAACATCAGAAGAAAAAAAACCCCCACACATTAATCCTACTTTGTGAACAACAAATTATGAAATACAAATAAACTTTAAAGTGAGTTTTCATATCTAAACACTCAAAAAATAAGAAAATGTGAAAATTAGGATTGAATTTCACAGTTCTAAGCCAGGTAGTTCTCAACTGATAGATACTGCTTAACTGGTATCAATTATTTTACAAAAAAGATACGTCTATATACAATACTGTGTGTAATAACACAACTAGGAAATCGTATTATAATTAAACCTATGTTACTTATATACTAATGGCATCTACTTAATTGGCACAAAACAGAACCTAAGAAATAGAGCACAGAGGAAACAGTATACTCCTTTAGTAAGACCACACAAGGTAGGACTATGTTGGTGTTACTGTGTCAGACCCATAAAGATGCTACTTGAGGAGAGTACACAAGTCTGACCAGTTCGCATATTCTTGTACCTTGCACTCCCCAAGCATCTCAACTGTTGTATTAAGGATTTTAGTCAGTACGTAACTGCCTAGTTCTTTCAGCACCCATTTACTGATTTGTTCAAAAATCTGTCTAATCGCTCTTTGGCCCTTCAGATACTGTTTCCTTCTACAACCTCATAGAAGGCCAGATTCCAGACACACGCTGTGTAAAGAAATGCTTTTGTTGGCTTTAAACTGATCTCTCATTGGTGTCATCAAGTGCCTCTTAACTCCTGTATTTTAGGATTTGGTGACCAGCTATTCTTCATTCAGCTTATCCACCACTTATATGACACTATAAAGCTTTATCATATCTCATGATATGACCCAGCTTCCTCCTCTCAAAGCTGGAGTCCTAGCCTTTTACCTGAGACATTAAAACTACAAACCAGGAATTACAGAACATTTCTGTATCTTCATCAACAGTTCTGTATATTTATCAACAGATTTTTATAAAAATATACTTACCTTGACCTATGGAACGACTTGCAAAATTATACATTTGCATTGCAATTGTAAAATCTTCCAGATTGTTCAAGAATTGGAAAAATGATCTGAACTCATCAAACGTGATACCCTAAAAAACAGAACAATGTGCACTATAAGAATTATCAGTAGTGATGACAACTGAATAAATAAACCTTGCAGTTACATATGTCCATTTCATTTAAGAATAGATACTAAACCCACTGAAAAAAAAAAAAAAAAAATTTGTACTGAAAGTCAGTAAATAACCGGAGTCTCCTGAGAAATGAAAGATGTCTTTCATCTTTGCCACTGCAATGGAAAGCAGTTCTCACCAAAAAGCAGTCATCAAAAATATAGTTCTATTGCTTAAGACAATCTTTAAGAATTCCAGGATTATTACAATACAGTAGTTAATAGTGAGAATAAGAGTCTAGGTTTATATGACTATTGGAATATGGTTACTACTGAAAACCTGCAAACTACTGTTCACAGAATCATCTAGGTTGGAAAAGACCTTGAAGATCATCCAGTCCAACCATTAACCTAACACTGACAGTTCCCAACTACACCATATCCCTCAGTGCTATGTCAACCCGACTCTTGAACACCTCCAGGGATGGGGTCTCCACCACCTCCCTGGGCAGCCCATTCCAATGCCTAACAACCCGTTCTGTAAAGAAATGCTTCCTAATATCCAGTCTAAACCTTCCCTGGTGCAACTTGAGGCCATTCCCTCTCGTCCTGTTGCTTGTTCCTTGGTTAAAGAGGCTCATCCCCAGGTCTCTGCACCCTCCTTTCAGGCAGCTGTAGAGGGCGATGAGGTCTCCCCTCAGCCTCCTCTTCTCCAGACTAAACACCCCCAGTTCCCTCAGCCGCTCCCCGTACGACCTGTGCTCCAGACCCTGCACCAGCTTCGTTGCTCTTCTCTGGACACGCTCGAGTCATTCAATGTCCTTTTTGTAGTGAGGGGCCCAAAACTGAACCCAGGAATCGAGGTGCGGCCTCACCAGTGCCGAGTACAGGGGTCAGATCCCTTCCCTGTCCCTGCTGGCCACGCTATTGCTGACACAAGCCAGGATGCCATTGGCCTTCTTGGCCCCCTGGGCACACTGCTGGCTCCTGTTCAGCCGGCTGTCAATCAGCACCCCCAGGTCCCTCTCTGACTGGCAGCTCTCCAGCCACTCCTCCCCAAGCCTGTAGTGCTGCTGGGGGTTGTTGTGGCCCAAGGGCAGCCCCTGGCATTTGGCCTCACTGAAACTCACACTATTATATGTATGTGAGTGTGCGTGGTCACAGAAACAGACTGAATGAATTCATAAATCCATCTTACTATCTAATTTAAGCTCTGTACTTGAAGTTTTTACATATCCAGTTTGGACACCTGAGTCTTTTCAGCTGATACTCCAGGTATCAAGTACTGCACGGTTTGTCTAGCTTTTTAAAAAAATCTTTTGCGTTTTGACCAGACCAGAATATTTTCTCTGAGAGTGCTGGTTTTAAAAGAGCTTATTTTCTTTCCTTTCCTAATGATATTTGTTCTGGTTTTCTCTCATCTTAGCTACGAAACCTGATAAACTATCTCTAAATCAATTTTGAGAAAAACAGAGACTTTGAATTATGCCAGGACCATTGCCTATTTCTCATCTTCCAGCCATTCTGGACATGGGATGGCATTCATCGTCAAACCTTGATCTCTGTGGCCTCCTTTAACTATCATTCCTGGCTATTCTTCTGTCTGCTTTTATCCTTTCATCCATTTAACTACTTCTGTCTGAAAGACGATAGAAAGACAAGAGAAAGACCTGTAAGCCCTTCTGTTCAAACTAAAATCTTGACCTATGTCTCTCCTCAAAGATATAAACAGTCATTATGGTATGGTGGCACACAGAAAATAAAAAGTAGGTTCGCTGCAGAGGAGAAAATGGCAGAGATTAGGTATAAATCCATGTGAGGCAGCAAGTGCTGTGGTAAATCTGGGCAGCAACATAGTATTGTTAGAATAAAAGACTTTAGTAGGTCTCCAACCACTTGAGATGTAAACTACTGCTTAAGTGATCCTACCTAAGCCCTAGCTAAGATTTATAAACTGCTTGATTGGAGAGCTTGACCTATCTCTTTCACAAATTGCTTTTCTCAACAAGCATATTTGTTCTCTGTTTCATCCTCTGCAACTGGGAGGAAACTCTCAGACACAAGCAAAACCACCTCCTTATCCTCCTTTAAATTTTTATCTTAAAATTTTAATTTACTAATACTAACCAATACTGTCTTCTTGTTTCATTGCATTTGACATCTGATAGTTACATTCAAGTTCTGTTTTTTGTACTCTGTTCAGACTGAAAACTAGAATAGTTTTGTCACGTATTTGTGAAATACTTAGATTGGTGAAACTTCAGACCCCAACTAGATAGGGCCCTCAGGTACTAGGGCAAAATCGCAGTAACAGAAAATGACCATCCAGTTCTTGAGGTGACATTTTTTGGTTAACGATGATTTTTAAAAATCCTTAATTTGCACCAATTTGTCTGTAAAGATTCTGAATGTGGGAGATACCGTAAGAGGTCAGGCTACTGCAAAAATCCTGTCTCTTTCCATTTAACTAGAGAGCAGATAATCAGTCTAGATGGAAAGCAGCCCTTGGATAGGTAAGTCTGAGAATCACCAGTCTACAAACAAATCTTTTTTTGCAGCTTCTGTGTTTCCAGTAGTGATGAAAACTGCTGCCATAAGTTGACAGTGGAGATGAAGCAGGGAGATAAAGAAGCCACACCTACAGTCCATAGCTAAACTGTACATACTCCACAACATTTTAGCTATGAGAAAAATATCTGGCTTCATTTAAGAGTTCTACAATTTCTGCTGAAAACACACGTAATCATACGTGCTTACTTTCTCACAAGGAAAAACAGCAATGCACACAAAAGAGGGAAAAGGACAGGCAAAATTACACTCAAAGAGAGTTGGGCATACAGCATTCTACTGTCTCTTCTCTCTTAGAACTATATTTTGTTCAACTGGTAACTGTAATAACATTTCATATTTGCCATATGTTTTGCATTCTGACACAGGAAGTTATCTACATGTAGATATCCTAGAAGTTTCCTACTGGAAGCTTACTTTCTATGTAAAGGGAAACTAACGTTTTTATTTATTTATATGTATTATATTTTACTACAGCAAAGAAAACTGTTACATTAATGCACCAATGCTGTTAAAAATGCACACATTTTCTTAAGGAGCTGATATATGCAGTAATTCCAGATGCCAGCTTAAATGAATCACTGCTTGGCATCTAGTTAGTAAAAGGAGGAAAATATCCTGTGACCAGGCAGCATGCCAGCTGAACATTTTAACGACTACAGTATGCCAAATGATCACCATGTTGCTTTAGAGGCTTCTCTATACAGTGCCATGAAAGATTAACATTGCTAACTGTGAGAGTAGCTGCCTATTACTTTACAGGCTATAGACTATTTTTTCTTCTAAATTGAATTCTCTGGTTTATATTAGTATTGCAGCATATCACTGTAATTAAATAGAAGGTACATTTATAATTTTAGAATTACAATGCTATTACAAGTGGCAATAAGGGGCAAAGTCCCATTCTCAAAAGCCTGTGGCCAGCACAAGAGATGTCACAGGGATTTAACTTTTCCACTGTACGGACAGCACGCTTACCAAGACAGTGATACAGAGCTACGGAAAATGGCAACGTCTTGTTTTACTTAATAGAGGTATAGCATAGAGATACGTGGCACTGGTCAAGTGCCAGGATATTCCCAAAACACAGCATAAACAAACCACTGTATAACTGAGTGACAGCTCTCAACATGGAAGTTTTCCTTAGTCCCACCAGAGATCAAGAAGAAAGACTTGCTATCTGAACAGTGGTACTGGAAGATTTAAAGATGAACTTCAAAGAATACTTCCTCGTGTTTAAAAGAAAGTGTAAAGCTGCACTGACCTTTTAGAGTAGTTAGTACAGAGCGCCTCAATGGCTAGACCAGGAACTCAGAAAGGGTTGATGAGCAGGATTACCACTTCTTACGCCTAATCTGGTGCTAAAGAGACAGCCCTGCTTTCCCCTTCCACCCCCAAGCTGTATTTATCTCTCAGTGGACCTAATTGCTGTACAACCACAGAAGAATCAGATAATCCAGATATCTGAACAGAAAACTTTTGATTTTTGGGGTGTGTTTCTATCAAGTCAGCTGACTGATCTTACTCTGTAGATTGAAATTACAATGTCATTTCTTAAATTAAAAAAACCCACAAAACTGTTCAACTGATTTATTACTTTTCTTCACAAGCTCTGCTGTCAATGCTATTAAGATATACAGCTATTGGAAGAGTTAGATTTCCAGGACAGATTAATCTGATCTCCTTCTGTGAACAGAAGGAGCATATCCAAAACATCCCTTATTTGAAGGGCTACTTGTAATGTTATCCTATCGATTACCATTGATGCATAGTTACTACTACATTTGTCTCAGATACACTTCTGACAACACATTCGTTGAACAAATAAAAGGACTATCCACCTTTACTGTTTTTCTTTTCTATCTCTTCAGCCATTAATAAGAACGACATACCCCTCAATAACTATACACAAGTAATCCATCATTAAGACTATAAAACGACTAGACAAAGGGTGTCAATGTTATTTCTGAAGAGGTGCTATTCCAGTGGCAGTGCAAAAGAGAAGTAAGAAAAAAAGGTTTTTTCATGCCTTATTGCTAGAAAATTGCTCTTTTTCACATCTTTTGTTTTTTGCTGTTTAAACTGAATTTTCATGTAATATAAAGCTTTGTTATCTAAGCTTCAAAAATACTAGTAGCTAAGTCCTATGGAGCATAATTCTATTCTATTTACCCTTTTACATTTTATTCAGCAAGTAATTTGAAAAATGTAACACAAACATCTTGTGATCAGAATAAAATCCTGGTGCTAATTAATTCAGTGACAGAATCTCATTCAGTCCAACAAGGCTATGTTTTAATCTTGATGACAATGGGACCAGATGCTGTTGCCCACTGCTGTCTTAGCTAACCAATTACCTTTTCTTCAGGAATCCTGCAGCGCATGTTTTCCAGGTAACTTGATGTATTTTCCACATTTGTATACCTCAGAAGAATATGGGCAAAATCTTCCTCACTGATGGTGTTCATCCCATTAGAGTAGGAAAGGAATTCTATCTCTAGAACCTCAGTTTGTAGGTTATCCATAAATCTAAAGCACAAACATAAATATGAAGAAATAGTAATACTTTGTATTTCTATTATTCATGTCCTTAAAAGACACGTAGAATATAAAGCCATATAGCATTACACAGGTTAGTTTCCTTTTTGTAGCACTGATTGTAAATTTGGTAAATCCCTTATCTATGTTGACATATTTTCTAATCAATACAACAATATTAACTCAAAGATTAAGTGCTTTACTAAGGATTAAAATGACTTAATACTTACATTTCTAATTTACTTCTAGCTTGTATTTGCTTAATTTCCTTCTTCAGTGGGTCACTGATCCTTATTTTTACATGCTAGACTGAAAATTCCATCATGCTACTAAATGAATTCCCAAAATTTATTCCCTATGTAGTTACTTACAGATTGCAATTAAAGCTTACCTTTTTAACAAAGTATGATGAGCTCTTGCAGCATTTTAATCATTTTTTTTAATACTTCATTTTTGTATTATATTTCTATAAACTCTCCTCAACAACATATTTACTATATTCTGGACACCAAAATTCAATATAGTATAAAACCAACTACATATAAAAAGGAAATATAACTTCCCTGATTCTGCTTGATGTCCTAGTTATACAACCAAGGATGAAATAAGCTCTCTGGTCACAGTACTACACTGGGAGCTTATGTTCATCTGATTGTCAGCCACAACCTGTAACACCTCCCTAATATGTAACTTGACTTCTAAGAACTATGAGAGCTCAAATCAAAAGGATGTCTAGGCATAAGTGTAAGTGCAAAGTAAACATGCAATAGTATTTCCCTCACCAGTCCAGAGTTCAATGATTTTCTGAGCCGGTAAAGTAGTTTTGACGAAAACTTGATGGGTCCTTCTTTCATGAATATGTCTACTAGGTTTTGACCTCTTTAGAATTCACAGCAATACATGGACAGCAATAGATGGACATTTTAACTAGGTATCTTTTGAAAAAGTACCTTCTTTTCTGGTTCTTGAACTCACATCATGATTTCACTTGATGACATTGTTTTTATATTATGTGAAATACTAAATACTTTTCATGACGAACATAATTTTAAGACAAAATATTTTGCAAACATCTGATTGATTAGAAAACATAAGGGATCACAAACTATAAAGACAACAGGTGTAGTGAGTTTTTGTTGAGAAAACAATAACCAAACACTGGATCTCTTTCAATCACACAGAACATACAGTTTTATGGCTCTGTTTTTATGGTACTCTCCATATATTTTTAAATTATATTTTAATTGGCATAATAATTAAGCCAATACCTTCCACTGTGTTTTCACTTTTTCCCAAAGAAGCTTGTTCTAAGTATCTAAAAATATTTACATTTAAATATGTCCCTAAGAGCAGAGATACAAAGTTTTTTTTTAAAGCACTGACAAACAGGGGAAAAAAATAAAAATAATTCAAAACTGAGAAAAAAGTTCCCACTACCAATAAGGACAGGGTTGGGGTATAACCTCTCCACCACAAAGCAACTATGCACACAAGTGCTAACAAAATTTGCAAATGCAGCAGCATTAGTACAGAACCTTTTATTGTCGGTCCACTTACTGTTTTGTTTTCCTCTTTGTATATGTATCACACAAAGGGAACATAAACTTTCTATACATGTCTGCATAAACTGTGTGTACAGTAATATAATACACGTTAATTAGAACAAGTATGCAAGTATTTTTTTAACAAAGAATTAATAAAATTGAGACTCACCTATAAAAATCCTCAAAGTTCAGTTCAGCTTTTCCTTTCTTGCCAAAAAAGTGCACAAGCAGTGTAGTATCTGACAGTGAACTTGAAATATCATCGGCACGCTTAAATATTAACATTAAAAAAAAAAAAAAAGGCTGTGACTAGAGTATAATCTGAGAATACCTATCATCACAATAGACCTTTTAATTAAAAGAGTTCATGTTTTATGTTCAGTCTTAAAGAAGATTTTAATATTAAAATCCATTAAATTAATTTAGTCATGCAATTTTCACACAAAATAGCATTAGGCTGTTAATTGCATTTAGTAGAAAACACTTAAAACAACAATATAACGGAAGCTGCAGTGAAGGGAAAAGAAGCATGAAAAAAAAACCAAAACCAAAACCAGAAACTCCTGAGTGGGAGCCAGTAGTCTCTGCTCTCCCTAGGCAAGCTACCACCTATTAGTAACACTGTATTTTTGTGGAAGTGTGCCTGCCGACTCTACTGCCAAAAGTACTCCCCTGGTTTGGGCTGGGATAGAGAGTACGTATTATTCTTAGCAGCTTGAATAGTGCTGTGTTTTGGATTCAGTATGGGATTTGATATTAGAAGAATGTTGATAATACACTGATGTTTTCAGTTGTTAAGAAATCAAGGACTTTTCAACTTCCCATGTCCTGCTAGTGCACAGGTACACACGAAGCTAGGAGGAAGCATAGCCAGAGCAAGAGACCCAAACTGGCCAGTGGAATATTCCATATCATACAACATCACACTCCGTGTGTAGATAAAAGTGGGCTGTACCACAAGTACAAACCAGAATACACAGTACACAAACCTAGTAAGTATTTGAGAGATGCAACAGTACTAATTTATCACCATAATGATAGATTATAAATCTATGGGATTTACTAGAAGTATAGAAAACTGTTCATACAGATCTATAAAGATCTGTATATACAAACCTGTAAGGTGCACACAGAATCCTGTAAGTATGACTGTATTTCATAACTGAAGAGGCTATAAATTTATAACGGAAGGAGAAACTGTGACTGAAGCAACTAGGAAGACATTTTGAACAGTATGCAGTAGTTCATCATGTACCATGAAAAACTATTTTATATCTACTTTCTCTGAAATATACTATATTAATTTCAAATTTACATACCGATTTGTAGAAAATGTAAAATGCAATATCCATTAAGAGTATTTATGTATCAACAAGGAAAAACATGAGGCAGTAACAACATAAATCCTTTCCCTTCAACATCCAAGAACTAAAGAAATGAGAGAGACTTCTCTGTACTTCAGTATGATCAGTTCAGGATTCTCAAGATTGTATTTCATGTACTCTAGCTTCCTCTTTATTCTCATATTCTTCTCCAGGGAGAAATAAGATGACATAGTGTATATATAGGTAGAGAGATATTTCATGTCCTTCAATTAAGACAGCTCTGCTCTTCAAGTGAGCAAACTAATTCAGAAAAGTAATCATTATTTGTCTTTTAATATTGTTAGTCTCCACTACAAGACACAATATACTGAAATGCAGATACCCTGATTTCTTTTAAGCAATTAAATCCCCAAGCACATTCAAACAGTTTCCCTCAAGTACACTGAAAAGATATCAAATGTTAAATTACAGCCTTTCATCTTGCAAAAACATTTCAAAACCTTAGACTTAGGTTGCATTCACCCATATCTAAAGAACCATTCAAAAAAAATACAATCGGTAAGTCTTTTCACAATTCCCATTTGGTCAGCCTCAGTAAATGAGAAAACCCCAAACAAAAACCCCAACGCAGAAACTCAACCCAGTATGCTTCTCTGCAGAATTGCAGACAACTGAAAACTATTCCTATGCTCCTTCTGCAATGGTAACATTAAATAAATTCTCTCTCTTAAGGGGTAAGGATAAAAGGAATAGCAGAAACTGTACTGTAAACTGTCCTAGAAAGAAACTGGATGTGACGAATAACTTACTTTCCCTCTATAAAGACCTTGTAAGTTGATTCCCACAACAATGAACCTTATTTACTCTCTCTTTCAACTTACACAAGGCCTTCTCAAAAGGCTATGAAACAACACAGACTCCAGTGTCACCTAGCTTTCTACCGCTTTCTTAGTAGAGATGGCTATAATATTCAGATGTGAGAGTACCTGGGAAAGATAAGAATATGGATCAAAGCCAGATGGCTCAAACTCAACCCAAGCAAAATAAAGATGGTTATGGTGAGAAGTAGGAAATTGTCAGTGGACCAAATGCAGGACATGATTTTTCTTCATAAAATGATTTAAAAGTGAGCAGAGAGACTTTTTATACAATATAAAGACAACTTAATGTTTAGTATAACTGCTGTTAAGCTTCAATTACATTGTAGTTAAAGATATTAGTCTGACGCATCAGATATAAAAAAACCTATCTCTCCAAATTAAAGGTGTGTAGAGATTGCCAAATTTAAGTCCATCTATACTTGGGACTGAATTCATGCCTAACTGCAGATTAAGATGACAGTTAATTCAGAAAAATCAGTGCCTCAAGCTCCTTAAATGGTCAATGAAAAGAGTAGCCCTCTCTCCCCTCTATGTCTCTTAGCTGACTAGACAAAGAACACTGATATTCTGGGTTTTAAAATCTGGTGGAATAAATAAGGACTAATAACTGGACTAATAGTTTAGGAGCTCATCAATTTAAAACCAAGGAAAGAAAGGTTGGGCATACTGCTTCATTGCAAGATTAGTATGAATGTTTTATTACTACGAATATTGTTATGAATATCAGTATAAAACTAAATTCTGTAACACTAGATTTGCCTTTGAACAAAACAAAATGAACTCAAGCTGAGAGAGGTACAGAGAAGGCCTATTTGATACCTGGGAAATGTAGGTTCTACCTTAAGAGAAAAATCAAAGACCTTGTTATGTTTAGTCTATGATAATTAAAACTGAGGGCTATGACTGCATTTATAAATACAACCATGAGTAAGAAGATTACCACTAAAGAAGAAAAAGACCTATGAAGAGACAACAGACTGGTATAAAGGGACTATGAGTAAATTTAGCCTGGAAATTAGAAAAAGTCCACCCAAGTTCTCAGGTTATTCAATAGCTTCTGCAAAGGAACAGCAGGGACCAAACACTAATTACTTTTAATAAGAAGCACACATTGCTTATGAAGCAACAAAAAAGATTATTTTACCCTGGAGATGCGTTTCAGTTCTTTTCTCATTATCATCCTGCTTATGAAGCATGGGACTTGAGAGCAGGGTCAGTGGGGAGTTGCTGTATGTCCTTTAATGCCACAACCAGCAGAGCAATCACCCTCACTGTATGGGGCACAGAAAAGCCTAAATGATCTAGTTTTCTCATCCTCTTAAATGATCAATACAAACAAATGTCTTAATTATCTGAAAGCCGATCATTAAACAAGAATCTTATTAGAATTTAAAGCACACTGGAAATTAATTTGACAGCTCTGCGATACTGCTAGTCCTCCATTATGATCGTGTAATATTAAAAAAGATTGACTGATGTTTTGGTTACCTTAAAACATTCCTGGTTTGATCCAACAATTAAAACAATCTTTGTGTGACACTTTTTGTGAAGATAAACTCTGATAACATACATAAAAAGCACATAAAGGACATTAAGATTAAAAGCTTAAAGGACTGCAGCTCTCATTAAAGTTGTCATATGACTGGACCAAGCCTGAATAACAAAGGTTTCCTGAATTACTTTTCTAAATGTGAAATACTGTCACTATTACTGTTAGAAAATGCTTCTTTTAGTAAGGACTGAAGTGGACTTATCTTCCCACTCTTTCAAAGTGAAGTAACTTTGCTTTTACTTGGAAATGACAACTTTCAATTATCAAACTTCACAGAACCAAACCCATTTCATCTGAGAACTTTCAGGTTTAAAAAAAAAATAGTAATTAAAAGGAAGAGAATAAACAAAGTGCATAAAATAGGAAAATAATCAGAATAGAAATAAATAAAATAGCAGTCTGTTTATGGACCAGAGACAGAGGTTGTCCTATACCTCCGCAAGGTCCGAAAAGAGTGCTTGGCTTGTGCTACGTCTCAAAGTATCCCAATAGCTTCTGGGAACAAGGTCCTCTCCTTCTGTTTTAAGAACCTGCAGAAGTTTCAAGAAGCACAATTGTTTGAAAACCAAAGAACAATAAAACAACCACTTAGAGATTTTAAAATCTTTTCTGACTGATCTTCAAAAGCATGGCTTGATTCTTTTGCTTCTACACAGAGTTCTACCTAGTTACATGACAGTAAATGAAAGGAACACTGGTTTATTACAGCTATTTGATTATTACTCATAACTTGGCTGTGCCAAAAATATTGCCAGACTCCACTTTCCCAAACAAAATAGAGAAAGTGTAAAGTGAAAATATTTATTAAAAGTATGTGTGAAAATGTCCATCTAAACTCAGTATTTTGCTGTTTTTTCTAACAATTCTGTTTTGCTGAAAAAAATATTAATTTATATACTTATGATTTTTTTTCCTCATTGGTCAAAATGTAAGTATCACCATACTACTAGTTATATAAAATTAATTTTATCCAGTAATCAGAATTACATTCTTGTACCAATAAAGAAATGCAAAAAACAAGCCTAATAAGTCCAGTTTCAACTGTAACATACTTATCAAGAAAACACTATGCACATCTGATGACCAAACTTACCTTGTTTAAAGAGAAAACAAGCATTTAATCTCTCCAAGAAAAATATGCCTACTTTTTTGCTCTGAAATGTTTCAATTTTGGAAGCCTAAAAAAACCCTCCCTTATTAAAACAGGCCTTCCTTTATCTTGCAATTAGTCTTGGAAGATCTACATAATACATTTTAGCTGGGTTTTTTTTCCCAAAGAATCTAGGGGAGGTGATCCTAAAGACAACTGAAGGATATTTGAACTTGGCTAGGGTTATTGAAACTGAATGAATCTTCCCCTTTCTCTCTACAACTTAATCTAAACTAGGTCTCCTATTTTCACTGCTCCCCACTCACATCCATCTTGGCAGGCAAGACAGAATGAGTTTAATCTTCTAACACCAAATGAAAACCATTCTTTTTACTCAGTGCATACTGTTCTCTTAGATTTATGCTGCTGTGCAATGTTTAAAACCACACTATTATGAAGAATACGGTACAGAGTTGAAGGTTTATTATCTCTATGTATTCTGCATTATGTCAACACTTTATCCGTACTGCTTCTACAAGCTCTATTATGTCCTTCATCCACTAACCAATTCAACCCAGCTCTTCCTGTAAATTGTCATCAAAGAAACATAACAAACTATTAGGAATTATACCCATGCTTAATGTATATTATACTTATGTTTCCTTTTTGAAAAATTCTGGTTTTATCTTTTTCTTTATGGAATAACAGTTCCTTTATCGTGGCCACAGTATTATATAACTCTATTCAGTCCTAAACTGCTCATCTCAGATAAATTTGTTTACTTCAGTTGCACATTCCTCTCAAATTTACTTATCCCTTGACGTTTACTGGGTCATGTGAATGAACAACACCTCATTCCTTTATGCATACGATCCTGTAATTATCTATTTTAAGTATTCACTGAATTTGTTCTCTTACGGGAGATTTACTTTAACCAATGGAATTAGTACTTCCGGGCACGCACATCTTATTTTCCTTACATGCATCTCATCATAGTTATCATGTTCCAGTTGGCATTTGGCTAGTGAAAGCACTCATGCAACACATGCTGAAGTAGCCTTAATACACAACGCAGCATGCACCAGAATATGACCTGGAAGAATTAACCTGTACAAATGAAAATACGAAAATATTTATGCCAATTAAAACATCACTGTATGCACTCTGTGGCTTACTTCTCAAAAAATTAGAGCTGTTTTGAAGGATGAAGTGCGGAGAAATGCCCAACACAGCACTTTGGACTATCCTAGACATTTTAGGGCTGCATATCCTTTGTTTTGAGTATCTTCAGCTCCCCAGGACATCAAGGGAAACTGAAAAGGCTGCTAACACTTTTTGTTTCAGTAGGAGAAATAGTAATCTGAAATACCAGTTTTCTTGGGTGATGGATTTGTCAGAAAGTGTGAATTCCTATACACCTGAGTCTGCTTTGCATGGAGATTTCCATTCAGGTGGTAAGAGGGCACAAAGGGATGGTGCACACCTGGGTGTCATCTTGATAAAGAGTTTGGATGTGGCTGGAGTAGAGAAGGAGATTTTTTTACTAAAGCTGGAAGTTATTATATACGTGGGAAAGTCTAACTAATTTGATTTGTTTAAAATAGGAGGCAGCGTAGGAATATGGCAACCATTGTACAGCATCTTTCACTGCAGTAAAGCCTGATCTAAAATCCATTGAATCATAAGGCCTCCCATTTCCTACTATATTATCTTCACAACATTGTGGCATCTACATCATGTCACTGCACCCTTTCATCCAACAGACTATCTTCCTGCAGATTGACCAAATTGTATGTGCTAACTTCACAGGAAATAAATCTGTGCATTCCTGAGAACAATTATATAAAGAAAGATTTTAAACTGGAATTTCATTAGTATCTAATCTCACTCTGAATATCACAATAATCATATGAAAACACATTTAATTCTTCTATTTTAATACCAAACCAGTATTTTTTAACAACAGTTTTACTTCTGTTGTGATCCAAAAATTAATCAGGCCATGACGAAGACATTAAAAAAAACCCAGAAGATCTCTCTTTTGCTGCTTCTCTCTCCTTCTCAAAAATGATTAAGTTTACTGTCACCTACATAACACAGGGATTATTTCCCTAAAACCCTAAAACCCTATTCTAGTTCAGCACTGAAAGGTCTTATTTTTGCGGGGGTGGGGGGCTGGTGTAAAGTGGGGAAGAAATAGGTGGAGGATTCATTTGACTAATTATTACTTCACATTATACGCAGAGACAAGACAGACCTGAATCAAATGACTCATGCAGGATGATTTAATTTACACACATAAAAACCAAGTCTATAATTTCTTAAGATATATTTTGTCCTTTCCCTTAAAAATATTATTTCCTTCATTTTATATAAATAGAGAAAGCAACCTTTCCTCCTGGTAGGCTTGCCAGAATGCATGCACAATCTTTTATGCAAGTAAGATCCATCACATTTTTACTGATTAGCAGAAGTAATGTACTTGATGAAAAAGATAAATATAGTAAATTTTCCTATAGCATACTATTTCTTCTGGTGAAGACTGCATAAATTGAAAATAATTTAAGAGTACATACACTGTTAGTAGGAGTATGATATCCATAAAGTTGAAGACGCTGACATACAGCAAAAACAGGCCAAACCAAGTATCACATGTCAGAATGAAGCCAAAAGGAGGAAAAAAAAATACAATAGAATAGGTTAAGACAAGCAAATCTATTGTATATATTAGATCTTTTTGTCTTTTTTTTTTAAATGACAGAAGAAAAAATGGTTTGTCTTCAATCTCATTCTTCAAATTTTCAAAAGAGAAGTACAGAATTGCAGAGATTACTCTCAGAGAAAAGTTCCATTTTGCAAACTTTACTTTTTCCAAAAGCTCTTTCTTTGGGTGTAAGTTTCCTTTGTTCAGAATAAACAGTGTGTGAGAGATTCAACAACTGACCTACAGTTTTGAAACGTTGAGAAAAATAGGTGTCTCTGGGTGGAAAAAAAAGATACCTTTTTATGCTCAGGGAAGGTTTAAAAAGTATTACTTCTTGAAATTCATACTTCCTATAGTTTCAGGTACAAAGATCAAGCATCTATGGTCCCAAAAATATAATGGGCCCAATTAAAAGCTTTGCATATACATCAAAACATTTTTTATAACAAGGAATTTTTGCAATATGCAAACTGCAAATGAACACGCTTTTTCCACTGTGGTCTTGACTGAAACTCATCCCTGATTTTTACTTGTCCAACAATATAGTAAGTTCCTGCTACTGCTGCCATCCTCCAGACAAACCATCACAGACTTGTCTGACTTATCTTTCTTAACCACATAAGAAATGAAAATTTGACATTATATAAGAATGAGTATTCAATATTATGCAAAAATCTATTCAGATAATATAAACAACTAAAAGCATTTTGAAGTGGTCATAAGCAGTATTTAATAAAAAAAATTAAATTTGAATATAAAATCCAAGTTAACTTGTAACATTTCATAAGCTATTTGAAAACTACTATGTTAATAACAAGCATCAGGACCTGTATGTCTATATAGTCAGTCAGTTATGACAGCAGGAGTATAGTTTGGTCTTGCCACTGAGATCTCTCACGCTTAAGACAGTAACACAGGGTCATTACCACTGACTTTTTCCTAGATTTACAGACTCCAAATGGAATGAATGCTAATATGTAATACAGTATTTAAACACTAATTTTTCCTTTCTACAGCTCACTTAAATTTGTTTTCATTAACTGCAGTTTAGGCTAAATATTTCTTTTTTTCTATATAGAAAAGTTATTCATACTCTTAATTACATGAATTTGTTTAAAAAAAAACCTGGAAGTGATTAGTGAAATATATACACACACAATTTTGTCCCACATTGAAGAAAACAAATACCAGCTGCAAATATTCTAATTTTACTTACCAGCATTGCACGTTTTTCTTCATCTCCTTTCCTTTCTCTCTTCTCATTTTTTTTCCTGAAAATCTCTTGCAGCTAGAATACAAACCATTTTGTTCTTGTTTAGTTTTCAGGCCATTTCACATGCATAACAATAATTCATCATGAGGAACACTGAAAACAGTATTAAAATGTAGTTCTTTACTAAAATATCAGTGTTTCGGTGATACTCTACTGTTCATATTCATGCTTTCAAGGTCCTTCTGTGACCTTAACCATCACACAGGAAGGAAAAAGGATACATTTTTTCTATAAAGTAAATCTAGGAATTCTATTTGGGAGCATGATACTAAGAACATCCTATTTGGCTCCACATTTTAACTATTCCAGCCTACACAAAAAGGGGGAGTTCCAGCCTTTTTCACCACCTCTAGGCACATCCTTTCTTGTCGGGTACTAATTAGTATCTGTGTGGCTACGTAGTCACCTGGATCAATCTTTTTTTCATATTGTTAGTTTTCAGCCAGATCAGTTCTTACTCCTGCTGGCACAAGAGAGGAGTGGAAACACCTGGTGGGGGTGAAACATTCCCCTTCAGCAGCAACAAACTACTACTCAAGAGTAATTTATCAAGTACCCTTTTTTTTCAAGTCTGTTCAAAGAATACCTTCAGGTCTTATAAAATACCCCTTTCACAACCTTCTCTACATTAAGAGCTTTAAACATGACTTCTGAGAAAACCTCAAATACAAGATTTAAAACATACAGATTCTTGAGCATATTTGTTTTTTGAAATTATAAAATCTTTAGAATAAGAACTAGTCTGTACTTATCTTTCTTTGTAAGAAACTGTTTTATTTAGGTATTTTTATTTATAGTACTTATTAATATTCCCAAACCATTAGAAAAAAGTGTCACAGTGTTTATTCTTCACAGCAAGAAAGAGCACTGTTAACTATAATGATATCTGTATTTCTACCAGTTAACTTCAGCTTCTAAAAAACTATAGATGAAAATGCTCTACTGCCACTTGTAGCATCTGCTAATCTCAAAGTGGGCTGGAAAAAGAATAAACACTGTGGCTGATTAATTTGTCCTATCTAGAATATGGTATTTTCAGAACTGAACATCATGTCTGTAACACAATTGTGGAAGTTGTTTCAAAGACCCGATTTTACCTACCAGAAGTCTGATAAAAACCTGATATTGTAAAAACATGCACACAGAGTTTGGAATGTGAAAGATTAAGTGTGTGTGACAAATTTGCAAGCAAATTTTCCGAATTTAACGTCAGAATACTGTATTTCAGAGAAGGCAGATGCCTAAGACAAAGGGATCAAGTTCTACTACAGGGGTATGACAACACTGAAATAAATTAATACAGTGTTGAGTGATTAAATAGCAAATGCCTTTATAAGTAACATTCTATGAATTTCCAGAATTGACTACTGTGTTCTGGAATTGTTTTTAAGGCAAATACAGACCGGAATACTGTGTGTGTCACCTTATCAATTTTTGACTATGGGATCAATTTACAGTCCTTGGAATGCTTTTTTCTGATTTTTTGCAAACCTACAGGCACAAATTACTGTAAGCTATGCTGACAAGAAAAGAGTCATGATAGGACATTTAGCTGGATGGCCTAGAATATTACACAGATTGCAACCCAAAAATGTGGAAAGAAGAAAGGTAAATGAAGAGAGAGAAGTACAAGGAAAATACCTTGTGTAAAGTGAAGTGACAAGACATGAAGTAGGAGAGAAGAGTAGCAATAATTGAAGAACCAAAAAAGATCAGTAAAAAGCAATGCATCCTTCAATGTGTTTGCCCTACCACAGAGGCAAAGGGAGAGGATTCTGTTGCATTCACCATTAAAGCACTTGCTAAACTTGTAGAAATGGATCTTTTGTTCAGAAGGAGGGCTATAGGATACCAGCAAGTAGAACAGTGAATGCAAAAAGGATCTAGGAGCACTTTCATAGGAACCTTGTTTGAAACAGGATAATGAGATTGACTGCTAAAAGCAGCAAAACCAAGATCTCCTGTAACAAGGCAACCCAATCCTTCTGTTCCTTGACCTCACCCCTATGACATAAGCAAAGAGGAAAGCACAAACACCATGGAATTAGTTTACAAAAGCACTAAAGCTGTTATCAGAAAAATTAAGTATTTTTCAACTCTTCACTGCACACTCTTCAAGAATCACATAACATGCGATCCCTACACCAATCCCTTCAAAGTCTCTTTATTTCCAAAACTGAATAGCATTAACTATAAACCCAATTTTATGACAGCTGACTGTAATCAATGGAGGAGTATTTTGCAAATGCTGAGTATTGTTCAAATGGCAGTGCTTACAGTCTCCTCTTCCAGGCACACAGGAGATGATGCATACCCAGGCAAGGCGAGTACAGATACAAAATGTATGTTCTGGGGCCAGGTCTACCACAGCTGCAGCATCACTAAACTCTTATTTTCATATGTACTTTTATTTACACAGACACTATACATCTACCTACCTATTTTAGTCCTTATGACTTTAGATCTAAGATTCTGACTTACAGGCTTTGATATAATTTTTGAAGGGTCACTGACACACTAATCACGCAGAGTTAGTGTCAGTTAATTTATAAAAGGTGGAGAACAGTATATTTAATATTTGAAAATTCTTCTTTCTTTCTTCTATCCACCAAGTCTGGTAACAGAAAAAGAAGGAGAAATTTTTATCAAGGACCATGACAAAGAACAAATAAAAAAGCAGGATATGAAGAGGACTAAAAAAAGTATAGTTAAAAAGAAAGATGGAAAGATGCAATATTCATAGTTAAATGTTGAACTTGCTTCCTGCCTCATATACTTATTTGATTTCATTTTCAGCATCAATTGCTGAAAGACAAAGCCTCCTGCTTCAATTTCCTCTCACTTAGCTGTTGTAATGGAAGACTTCTTTTTTAAAAGAAGTTGTCTGTCTATTCTACCACATTCTGTTTTATTGAATCATGAAAGACTCTTTTTTGCCTTTTATTTTTTTCTTTCCCCTTCTTCCTCTATTTTTCCTTTGACCAATTAATCCAATCTTGGCTGGCTTCTTCCCCTGACTGGAGGAGATGGTAATTAGGAATTAGCAAATATAAGGATGTGTACATTTAATACTAGAATATAAAAAATTATCTATCAGCATACCACAATCTGCAAGTGGATTCAGCTTACAAAATAAATGAGACCTGTTCTGCTTAAGCCATGCCACCAGAAAACAAGCCCCCAGATCTCAGATCTCACTTTCTTGAAAAGGAGAACTGAGGGAAGTTCAGTGTGTTGTGGACAGATTTTTTCACGTTTCCATTTTCTTTAGGTTAGCATAGCTTATCTGAATCAAGTCTTATAACTTGACTTGAAAACAATTAAGAAACAACACACAGGCAATTAAGAGTGTCTTCTTTTTAAATAAATTGTGGTCTTACACTTAAATCTATTCCATATGTCTGTTTCATTCTTTATATTTTGTTCCACCTTCTTCAGCAAGGCAGTGGGCTTTTTTTCATATGTATTTACAGTATTTATAAACTCAACTGCACAAAAAAGTACAAAGATAAGAATTGATGTCTTCTGCAAATTTTTTTTTTTTTACAAACACCTGCTTAATTTCTTATAAATATTTCTTATTCTATTAATCACCCGTACTTGTTCAGTAGAAATTAACAGCCTTGTCTTCAGAAAGCTTGTCTAAATCACTAACCACAAAATTTTAGATGTTAATTTCTAAAGAAATGTCAAAAACTATGTTCCATAATAGTGTTTCAGTGTAATCCTAGACATCTGCTGTGTATGGACATTACCAGTTTATAAAACTCTGATGTATATTGTTCAGTTTGTTAATGTAAAGCCATGTAGTAATTGAAAAATCAGAAGACCTAATGAAGAGTGGGCAATCTGCTGCATTTCATGATTTAAAAAAAAACAAAAGGATCCATTTTTTACTTCATCACTGATATTTGCTCAGAATAGCATTAATTATTCCTCCCATTTCTTTTAAAATCAGAAAATAAATGAAAGAAACATAAATCTGACATAGCCCTCTTGTTCCAAGGCTTTTTAATTTTATAGTCAGTGCAAACATTATTCTCCTGTACTAAGTGAATCCTATCACATGAAAACTTATTAAGTATTTGAATTTTAAGTGCAATTGTCCGATTTATCGTGATAAAAATCAAAATGCAGTGGATGATTAAGATTTTTTGAAGATTTTCTTTCGAGTGCCAAATTCTTCTTAATGCACAAATCTCAAGGACAAGTGAAATAAGCTAATTTTTCTTTTAAAGTCTGGGCCTGTTAGAACTGTTTAAATTTTTAACCAGAAGAAAACTCAACTGTCTGCTTAAATAATTTGTAAGAATAATTTACAGAACTGCTTTTCCAAGCAATAAACTAAGTAAAGCTCTGGTTCGAAAAATGTTGTAATTCAGACTTGTAATGTAACAAAACCTTGGATGCAACAAAGCTACTGCCAAGTTCTAGATGTCCTGCCAACTGTTCCAAAGCACATGAAAATTATTCAGTTCAATTCTGCTACCAGGAATATTGTCCTTAAAAAGAAATCACTGAACCCCATCTTAGAAAATTGCTTCACATATGGATTTCATGGACTGAACCAGATATATGTATGATATGTACAGATATATGTACAATAGGCTTTATTCCACTACAAATCTTGTCCAAAACAGATGATAGTGTCACATTATATAGTTAATATTTTCAGGTCACCTGGGATTATAAGCAGAATGAACAACAAAGTGAAGGAATCTCCCAGGAAAAGATTCTTTTGCAAGTCCCTCCATCATTATGGCAATTAAATAATTCTGCTGACCATTGGTACAGCAATATTACTTTATTAACCTAGCATCTGTGAATATAGTAGCAATTTAAATGATCCAGAAAAAAACCTGGAACTAAGCTTCAAAAATTATACACAATACACACTGTAACAGGGAGCTACTATTTACAACTTACATTATTTACATTTAATAAGGCAAAAACCCAATCACATTCAGTGAAGAATAGCTCATGTTCTCAGGATTACTGACATCATGAGTCTCAAACCAGACCAAAAAAAAAAAAATTTCAATACTACATCAAATATTCAGACTGAAAATATACGTACCACTAGGAATTCCTTTTTGTCCACCATCTCATTGCCATCAGTATCAAACATGTTGAAAGCAATTCTAAAACCTGCATGTGGCTCTGCCAAAAAAAAAACCCCATTCAATTATCTATTTGCTTTGAAAGAAAGCAAATATAAAACTCTAAGAAATTATTTAGTTTCTGTTTATAAAAGCCATATCCTCAACTAATTTAAATTAGTACATTTGTGGACACAGTAAATGCAAATCACAGTATCTGTAAAACAATTATTATCCATGTTACGAAAAAAGAAGGTATGCTCACAAATTCATAGATTAGAGGAAACAGACAGCAGAAATAGAACATGAAATATCCAAGAAAAATATCTCACAGTAATGGCTGGTTGGGTTGTTGAGTGTTACTTTATAACTAGAGTCCATTTTATGTCACAAAACACAAATTAGTAGAAAATAAATTTTCTATGAAAACACTGTTCTAAGACACTTTAAAAAGTTTTTCAGAAAAGGTACTGTATGCAACTTCTAGTCAAAACAAATGATGTGTTGAAAATGACACAGAATTTTCTTGTTTACATGCTTAGTCATTGAACTTTGAAATCAGGTTAGAATTTTAAATTATTTCCAGAACATGGGGACTTTGAAGGTAACTGTCAGTGAAGCCTTTAGGCAACATTTTGGTTATATTCAATGATTTCCAATATGGATGAATTATGGTCAGAAGTTAGTCTGGATAACAAAGCAATGATGGAAGAATATCCATTGATTAAGCAGTTAGGGACTGTAAGGGTTCTGGGTCAAGTTCCTACTTTGATTCATAATAAGACTCAGATCATGTCTGAAAAAAACCCCTAATGAATTCAACAGAAGTGTTTTATTAACATTCAAATGAAAGACAAGTAAAATACTTTGCTTCTTCCCAAAAAGTACCTCTTAAAATACTAAAACAAAGTCTGTATCAGTCTTAGTTTACTCTAAGTTCTTCTACTTTGGTTTTATGGGTGGTAGAAGAATAAGTATTCACTTTGGTCAGTGTTTTCTAACTGAAATAAACATTTACTTTAGTTTGACAGATTTTGTATTTTATCATTGTGTCATTGATATCACCCATTATGCACTAATAGGTGAAACAAGCCAATAATAATGTATATCTTCCTCTTCTCCCCGTACTCAGTATCCTTTATGAACTTCAGTAAATTTAGCTAGAAACCCTGTAGGAATTTCAAAGACGATAAAGATTCCAGTAGGACAGGAGAGGTTGAAATGGACATAGAAATGCATAATACATTTTTTTTCCATATTGGGATATACAGGAGAGGGCAGGAAAAAAAAAAAGTATTGTAATGTACAGCAGTATATTCAGAACATAGAAATTTGTAAGTTTTGGCATTTTTCAAAAAATACTTACTTGTTAAAATACATAAGAGGAATAAATATTCTGTGTAAGATATCACACCTGAAGACAAAAAAAAAAAAGTTATGCGATATTAGTTTCACCTTGTCTTCACGTTCTAAACTTGAAAATATTAAATCTAAAGGAGAATTCTTGTACATGTACATATGCATATTCATATTCATACTTGTGTGCATGTGACTGTATTCAACCTGGTCAGTGAGTTATTTGTCTAAAATACTGATCTATGGGGCTGGGGTTTTTGTTTGGGTTTGGTTATTGTTGTATTTGAGCAGAAATAAATTAAGTAGGGCAAATAATCAAACAACTGTAAGGAACTGAAGGAAAAAATGCCTCAAACATTCATCGACACAGAAAACCTCAAGGACAATCTGTGTGGCCTTTGGATTAGTCTAAGGAATGCCACCCAAGGAAGCAGGAGTGTATTGAAGGATGCACCCCCCCACTCCCTTGCAGTTGCACTGACAAACTCCTTAGATAAAGGGGGAGACATGGACCAAGTGAAACCAGGTCGTTTTCCCTCAAGCACAAGTACCACTAAACCCTCTGTGACTCTACTGTGCAAGAACTGGCAAGAGGTGATAATTTCTGGGATGCCTGATAAGATCTCTGGGAACAGAGGAAAAACAAAAGCTGGGCAATGACCACCAACTGGAACCCATGCTCCACCTTTATCTCTCATAGAAATGAATTTGTGGAATACCTGCCCCTCCTCGTCTAGTATGCTAATCAGCTGGTAAAATGAACTTAAAAGGGCAACAGAAACTTTCCTGTGCCTGCAACCCACCACGCAGGATTACCGGACCCGAGACAATGCTGGATCCAGGGGTGGTGATCCAGATTTCTTTGACTCTCCTTCTCTCCTTTCTTTTTCTTTTCTTTCTTATAGATTTATAAGAGACCACATTGTTTATTATCCTTTTCCAAGTTTAAATTAAGTTAAAGCACAGCACAATCGTTCTCTAGCACTCCAACACATTTTAACCAGTCATTTGGTGTTGTTTCACCTTTAATTTAACCCAAGGAGATCACAGAACCGTTGCAATTCTCTGAGCTTCCAGTCTGGGTCGTGACAACAACTGCAGTCAGTGGAAAATAGATCATTGAACAGAAGCTGGCTAGATTCTTAGAAGCTAATATAAATTATTTATTTGATTTTCTTTCTGAAAACCCCACCAGTAATTCATGACAACATTCTAACAGTATGAAAACATTTACTCTGAGAACACTTGTAGTGCTCCCTCATGATATGTACCTTTTGAATACAGTTCTTTAATATGTGCTTTGTAACTGCATGTCCTATATTAATTGAAAACGTGGCCTCCTGTTACTTAAGAAAGCATAGGTTTGGGTTTTTCAGTTGTCTTTACATGCACATTTTCATAATCATCACTTGAAATTTATATTGAAACTCTTACTAAATGATTGTGAAAATTTTGTTAAATAATTTTAAAGCCTGTTAGATACATTTGTACTATCTCTTCTTCTACATTCAGAATATCTGTAAGGAATACATTCTAAGCTTTTCATTTTTGTTACATGTCAAAAGTTAATCAGTGTGGAATGGCACTTCCTTTTCTCTTCAGGAGTGATTAAGGCAAAACTTAATTTAGAGCTGAATTCAATATCCAAATCATTCAGTATCCATCTTTGGTACCATAAACTGTACTTCTGCTTTTCTAGCTCTTGGGTAAAGAGATAACCTTGCAGAATGACCATAGTACCAAGAAAGAGAAGCATTTTATAGTTCAGTGAGAACTGAAAACAATGACTTGCAGCTCTGCCAAAAGTCCTTAGCTCTAATGATCTTCGAGGCTGAACTAGCAAAACTGGTTCCTGATTTCTAACCAATTGATTTTGTCTATCCTCCAAAACCAAAAGTGTTAAGTCAGTCCACAATATTAGACCATTTCAAAAGAGTAAAAAAAAAAAAAAAAAAAAAAAAAAAAAAAAAAAAAAAGTATTTAGATGCCTGAGAGTAAAGATGTCTATCAGCTGGGATTTTCAAAAGTTGCGGGCTGTCTCCTTGATTTCAGTCCAACTCAGGTGCAAAAGTTTTTCTAAAAACAGCCACATCTTTGGATGTTCAAATATCTTTTAAAATCTGACTTAACTGAATATGTGACAAACTACGTAAATAGTAATCTGAACTTTTTTTACTGAAAAACCTGTACAATTAAAACTCAAAACACTGTATCATTCATGTGATTATAATTAGTGAACATATTTAACATCAGCACTTCCAACACACCCAAAGTAAAAAACTAGCATCTTCTACTAATATTTACAGCACAAAAAGTTCTAAATTAATTCTGTCCTGAAAGAATACTCAGGAGGGACTTTCTGTCCTCTTAAATAGATGAGATATGAAATCCCAGCTATATTTCTCTTGGATCTGTCTAAATGTCCAAATGCCCCTCCAAACCTTTGATCATACAATACTCCTCCCTAAAAGTCAGTTGTCCTGAAAGAGGAGCACTTTCCAGACTATCAGGTCTCCTATTCTCACACAGAAAAGAAAAAATAACCAACCACAGAGATTTCCACAATATCACAGACTGGTATATAAAGACAATACAAAAGAAAGACTTAAGTAAATTGTCTTTGGAACCAAATCACATACTACAAAGAACCAGTAAAACTCTCAACGTTTACCAGCTGAAACGTTGCCCTTCCAACTTCCAATCCATTCATGGGGAAAAAAAAAAAAAAGCACAAACCAAAAAGGTATTTTCCCACCTTTTGATCCAAGAGCAAATTTAAGTCTTCAGAACCAAGAATTTGCTACTGCTACTACATCTAGTTAGGAGGGCTACAAAGTATTTTTAATACCACCTACTCTTTTCTTCAATTTACACATAACTCTACACTACACTGAAGACCAGCAAAGATTAAAGGTAGGCATTTAAGTAAGGCATGCTCTACGCTTTATCTTCTTGATTTTATACAGCAGTTTGCAGACATTAGTTTGCAAAGGCCTGCTTGAATCTGTTTGGACAAGCAGCTATCAAGAAATCAGATACCTCAAAGGTTCTCAGTCAGTGATGTAAAACGTTCTTTAATAGCCAGTCAATAAATGTAAATATGTATTTTTGTTTGTTTGATGACACTTTCTTTGTTGTAAAACAGAGGAAGAAAGTGCAATTGTCAAGCAGTCCATCACAGGTACCAAGAGAGCAATATAAAATGCCTTGAAAGTGTTCTCTCCTTTTGTCTGTACTGGTATATCGTAGTTGTAGACAGACAGTTCTGGTTCATTGCTCTGAGTGTTATGGGAGAGAGGCTCTGTAATGACGACTGAATGGAAAGAAAAGCTTACACTAAGATAAGAAAGAAGAGAAGGACATTGCTCAAGGGTAAAATGTAAAAATAAAACTTAAGGACAACTGGCATAAATCTATGTGGCTCATCTGATTTAAATGAATCTATGGAAAAATGAATGGACATAGGCTTTTGCTACTTGCTTCACAGTAAAATGTGCATATTTTAAAGAAAATTAGTAAATTAATCTTGGAGTTTTCATGTTATGTACTAAATAAACACTAAATTAGAATTAAGGAGACCTGAATTCTATTCCCATTCCTTTCACTGGCTTACTGAATGACCTCATCAGTCATAAGACTAACCATGTTTTCTTATATTATCTATCAAATGGGGTAATGGAACTCACTTTTTTATAAAGCATGCTGAAAAGCTATGTAAGTGCTAAAGTTTACTGCTAATTTTACCAGTTTACTATGACAGTTTTGAGTCCTCTTAATTCTATCACCTTTGGTAGAATTTCACTGCTGGAAAACTGGAGTAAGATATTGGTGAATCAAGACTGAACGTTAGAGACATGACACTACAGATTTCATAAGCAACATCCAGATACATTTATTTTGAACTAATAACTTATTAGATTCTGAAGCTGAATTTTTATGTAATTAGTATTTCAAACATCAGCTGTTGACTATACAGAAAGCAGCCTAGAGCAAGGAAACACAGTACAAAGATGTGCCAGTTTCTGCCCCTCTGGAGTTCTGGCTGCACACTCAGAAAAAAGAGATTCAAGCCTGGGACTCTCTTCTGATAGTAGGTGCATACTTACTCCTTTAATAAATTTGAGCTGCATATGAATTAGCTTCATCAACTACTTGCACCTGTTTGATTGGAATTTTGTTGCTAGCGTGCTTAGTTTAAACATCATAAAGTTTTATGAATGTTTTAAATTATAGCAAGTACTTGTGGCTGCTTTTGAAAACACTTAAAACACTCCACCAAACCTTTGCCATTCTGAATATAAGGAATATGTGGATTATTTATTGCAAATAGCTTTTCAATGTCTGTATACAAGCCATCATAGGTTTCTTTTTTTCTGTGTTTTTTTGTTTTTGAAGCGATAGAGGGGGAAAAAAAAAAAAAAAAGAGGAGACCAGGAGTGGCTATTGACTAATAGTGTGAGTTTTAAAAGCTATCAAAGCCCTCACCTGCAGAATTTAAAGGGATACACAGCATTTCTGAAAGCATGTTGATTGTTAAGAAAATGCTTATTCAGTGATATAAGAATACTGTCTTTAAAAATAAGCACATCACTGAACCTATTAAATGAAGAGATATTGTGTCTTTATTAGAATATTCTGTCTCTGGTCTATACATCACTTTTCATTACAACAGATGTAACTTGAAACATTCAAATATCACTTTAACAAACTTTAATATACTAATTCACTTGAAGAGGCTAGCTGTAAGATGGCATGATTAAAACACTGTAGAGACTAAAGGGAACTTTTTCATGATGTAAAATGTAAAAGCAACAAACACTTTTTATCTTTCTGAAGATGTGACTCAAACATCATCACTTCAGCCACAATAAATTAAGGTAAGTGACAATTTGGTTCAGGAAAATAAATTCTTGACCCTCACCTTTCTCATTAAGATTACGGAAAAGTTTGGATGATCCTTTCCAAACTGGTGGTGTCTCCATGAGGATCTGATTCAGTTCCTAAAAAATAAGATTTAAGAAAAAAATCTGTATTTAAATATTTAATGAAGTCATTAACAGATTATGAGTAAATTCTAGGAAATCAATATAAAACACAAGGACTGCATGCAAATCTACCAGTCAAATTAACTTCAGTTTAAACCAATGACTTTGGAAGTAACTCAAGCCCATATATAAATTTTGCACACAAGATTATTTTAAGAATTGCTCATCTGCACAAATACTGTTTCCAGAGTTGGAGAGAGACATGTAATGTATTTGTTGCTGAAATTACTCACCACTACTCATATTCACTGAAGCCAAGGATAAATCCCCCTGGATTTCAGTAAGGTTTTCATAGAAGCTCCAAGCAACTGTTCTTTTAAAAACACTCCACCTGAACTAAAGCAAACTTCACCCATGAATATGAACGTACTTTACTTAAAATACAGGAATACAGAGAGAGTCTTTCTGCAGTTGTATAAATGAAAAAAAAAAAAAAAAAGAGGTACTTAACCATGACAAAAGGTAGAGTGTGGCGTAAGTACTTCAGGCAGCTTTGGATACACCTGCTACACTTAGAAACTAAAGAAACTCAGTTAGATATGGGCTGAGGAAGGAACTGATAGAGGCTTGAGAAAATCAGTAAATCCAACATAACAGGCACAGCTGCTCATGTATCTTTGAGATTCTGGATTCAGCTGAGTCTGAAGTGACAAAACCGAAGAAATTAAAGCCTGTCTTCTTTTTTTTTAAATAAAGATTAAAAAACTCCATTATTTCTCCTGTGACTCTAAGTTTACATCATGAAAGAAGATTAATGTATCAAAATCTATGGTTGTAGAACAGCACAGGAATTACTACCCACCTGCTTTGAAAGGGATCGCCACCTTTTAGCACCTGCAACAAAAGACAAAGTTACGAATGCACAGAATTTAGTTACGCCTGTGTGGTGTCACAAAAATTAGACTGCATCTATACTGTGTTTTCTAGCCAAACAAGAGGTATTGTCCTTACTTCATGAAGCTAATCTTCAACCTGGTTGAGAAAAATTATATTATTAAAAAGATAGTAAGATTAATACATACCTAAACTCCTAACTTTAAAGAACCAATTCAGATATATAGTTTTAAATCCAACTCTGGTTCAGTGAGAGAAAAGACTTTCTACCTCCAAAATACACCATTAAAACATTAAACAGGAAACAGAGGGCATTCGTTTTAACCTGTAGTATCAATATTCTGAAATGATTATTTAGCAGCAGTAGTATTACAATGCAGATTGTAGGGAGACCTAGATTCTGGCCCTTGCTTCAGAGACCACTCATACTTTTAAAGCAAATACAGAAAAAAATCCTTGAAACTACACCAGGTGCTAATACTCCCTTCAGCCATTCCTCGTTAACTCAGATTTATACTCTCTTTTAGAGCCTCTGTTAGGCTCAATTTTTTGTAAGCAGTTTTAACAGAACTGAAGAGGGCCTCCAGTTCAGAACTGGGACTGCTCATTAATACTGAAAACTAATGAATAAGACTGAGCAGATACTTTCTTCCTAATGCCTTACATGACAGACTCCAGGAGCAGAGAAAGATACGTGCATTTGACAATAGATGCCCACAGCCATCCAAGAATTCAAAACCTGAGGTTCATCACCACCCTCTCAAGGCAAACATTTGCACAGATTCAATACTAAGAAGAAGCACTGTGAATATCAGAATTCACAAAGGTACAAAAAGTAGCATAGTATGGGGTCAAATCCATGACTTTTTGGCTGGTAAAAGTTCATTTTTATAGAGCAAAACAATCCATGGTGTTAGAAATCCCTCCTGATGAACTCTATGCTCCATGAAATAATTATCACAATACAAAAGCTACTCGCCATGGTCTTTCTTTAGTTCATGGTTAGAGACTCACTGAAATTTTAGTTTTAGATCTTGTTAAAGGTTAGCACCAAGACTGTCTGCAAATCTCACGCCATGATGGAATTGTATCAAGAAATTATCTAATGCGAGCTAACAGATTTTCACGTACTTTTCAGTTTAATATTTTAATGTCAGTTAAAGTCTTGTCACAAAATCCTAAATAAAACCCAACAAAACAACCCAATTTGCCATACGAATTGATAAATGTTTATACATACCATAAAAAAATTGGGGAATAAATAAATCTAACTTTTCTATCAGATAATTTCCCGGTCTCATACATTATATGTAGATTTTCTTTCTAGACAAGCAAGTGAAGATTTATGTGTAGATACATATTTCCTAGAGCTCAGTATTAGGCTAAAATTACTACAGTTAGAGCTGAAGAGAACAAAATATATTTCCTCTTCTCTTAGTTGGCTTTCTAAATATATAAACATATATTCAGATGATAAAAATGTATCAAGCACGACTGTTAAAAATATTACATTTTCCCAAATGAAAGCCTGCACCAAAGGTAGCAGCAACAAGTTAATTACAGATTTATTTCATATTTTTTCATAATAACTGCCTGGAGTCAAAATTTACATTTCATAAAAGGAAATTTACTCTTACCATATTAGTTAGTGTTTAATCAAAAAAGGAAGTGAACACCCTCTTGACTTTTGTAGGGTTTACAAGATTTCCAAAGTAAATCAATCACAATAGATGCATTCACTCCATCACAAATCTCAGCCAGGTCTAGTATTATTAGCTTTTCTATACAGCAGACATAAAGAGCTACTATTATTACTCTTCAAAGGGCATTTTTGCTTTTTGACAAAACTCAAGACCTTTCTAGTCTTCATCCATAAAAAAACCCAACAGGTATATGCTCTTTTTTTTCTGCAAAATATATATGCTCTAGTATGTCAGCCTGGGTAGACCCAATTATTTACAACTTGCAACTTAATTACAAAATGATCCAAAAAAACAAAATAAGATGTTTAGAATGTATTATTTTATTCAGAAAAATACCTTCCTTAAACTTACTAACTCAAAGAGAGGAAGACAGAAAATTAAGACTTGCCCAAACAGACAAAGTGGTACTTTTGACACAGCTGCAGTACAAAGGTGAAAATTAACATAGTCAGAGATAAGAAGCTAGAAGTGGTAATCTGCAGATCATCTACTTCACCTATGACTTCCTACTTGTCAGCCTTCTGTCCAAATGTCCCAGACAATATGACTTCCACTATAATGAAGTCATCCACTTCTATTTAGTTACAGTCTCTTACACCGTCCTTTAAAATAATTATCTCAGTCATGTGATCTCTGATATTAGTCTATAAAAATAAAGGCCATTCAGGTTAGTTTTGCTTTCAGTTTCAGAGATGAACTGGATGCACAAGAAGCATTTTGATACAAACAAGGTTTGCTACACTGAACTCAGAAAGGTGCCTGACCACATCTCTTCTCCTTTGGCATGAGATGAACAGAACATTCCTGTGAGCTTAACACTTCTTGGTTTGCTTATGTTTTAAAATCTGAATACTTGCTGTGAGAGAGGAGGAATCATAAATTTCATTAGCATGGAAAAAAACAGCAAACCATATAAACAGTATGGTCAAACCAGTCAAAGTGTCAAAAAATGGAGTTAAAATGAAACTTTTAACTGATGCCCAGTATATAGCAAAATGCTTCATGACCATACATGGTGAAACCCAATTCCACAGTAACAAAAGAAGGAAGACTTGGAGATCTGGGCAGAGGAAGTAGACATAAAGTGCTGATGTGCATTTGTATTAACTTCTATGATAAGGAGGAATCTGCTTCCTCTCTTTTAACTGCAGAGCAAAAAAAGACAATGAAGATTTGCTTTCTGGTAAGAGTTTCAAAGTTTTACAAGTTTTCACCATCTAAGCTCTATCTTCTGTCTTCACTGTTACAATGAGATTATATCTTTATTCAAAAGTTGTAGAAGTTTTGATCACTGAAGTGCCGTGGCTGAATTCTTTCCTCTTGTTTCATTACTCTTAAGAGAACAAAGGGGAAAAATCTAACATCTGCACAGAGCTTTAAGCTCTCCTCTGACTGTTTCAGCTGCTTTTGACTGTTCTCTATACTAGCTTTGTGGTATACACTTTAGGAAGAAAGACCTTAGGTGAGTTATTATACATGTCACACCTGAGCAAAGATACTCACTTTTCCCCAGAAGTTGTGTGCTGCTACCAATGCACTGCAAGCCTGAGGGCCAGGAAATCAAACTAGATCTTAAATGGATCACCTTACTATTTAGTCACTCTTTGATACTTAAAGCAAAAATTTTACAATAAGTAAACTAAATCTGATAGTTTATTTTTCATTAATTTAATTAACACATAGCACTAACTCTGGCAACTTTTAAATGTAGAAAGAGGATCCCCTGGGGGACTGAATTTGTACTCAAAGCATGTTATTTAGAAAGCCATGATATGGTTATCTCTGTAGGGCAAAAAAAACCCCACATGATAACAGATGACAATTTAAAATGGCAAAAGTACCAAAACAATGTTATTATAAATTACTTCCATGTTATTTAAAATTACAACAATCAAACAGAAGTAGTAATCAAAAGCAAATGGAAAAATAACATACACCACTGGCATTTTCCCTAGCAATTTTATCAATATAAAACTCCTGCTTACGTTTGGGTTCATCATTTGTGACAGCCTGAATGAAGTCATATGGAGTCATATATAGCTGTCCTTCAAATTCTAAACTGGCAAACCTACGAAACCGTTGCTCCCGAGGAGTTGCATAAAGGTGTAAATCTTCAAGGTCTGATCTGTTTTCTGTAACCTTCAAAGACAGAAGGAAACAATTTTAATGTATGAAAAAAGTTTTGGTTTACAATTGCCACTGCCATTCACCATATAGAAACTGTAAATGTAAAGCTGATAGTCAAATGCATCCATATTTTTTTTGTATGGTAAGAGGTGAAACTACAATCAGGATTTCACTGCTATCATTTTCAGTCTTCTGCAATTCTAGTAATAAATCTTTATGCACTGAAATTGTTGACAGTACCCAAGCTCAGAAAAAAAAAGAGGAAAAAGAAAGAACTTAGGCTCTTGAATCATAGAAAAAGGGGCAAATTTAACTCAAGGAAGTCCATGTAACTTCAGCAGTCAGATTTTAAACAGTTCTGCTAAAATTATTTCAGTTGCCTGACATTTTCAGCAAAGAATGCAGTAACATTTTTTTATATTGCTTCTTAGTGTACAGCGCATCTGTTGACAATAACAGGCAAGACACCTCCATAATATGCTCCAGTGTAAATCTACAGATACTGCTATTTCAAGTGTCCAATGCAATTAAAGCTACCATACTTGCGGAAACAGAAGAAGAGAAAAGCATAATTATTCCTCCAGAGTTACAGAAGTACTATATGGCATTAAGTTCACACCTCATGAGAGCTTATAGATGTCAGGAGTTTCTGGTATATTAACCATCCAGTTGATTTACATGTAAACTTAGTAGTAGAAAACTGTAAGTGTTCTAAATTATTATATCTTTGTGTTAACACTGTCAAACCTTTTATCAGAAAATATGCTACTGCTAAACCTTGCCCATATATGCACTTATACTTCTCCATAACAAGGCAAGCTCCTCTGCAGAATCAGCATCTTGAAGAAAATGCAAGTATCTTGAACTTATTTTCAGACATGAAAAAAACAAACCCAAATTGTTTCATAAAAGGAAGACCAATGATATAGCTAACTTCTTCTAGTATGTTAAAAGAAGAATGCAGCATCTTATATCCCAAGCTGCCACTGCCCTCACTATTCTTGTCATTTCATACAGTACCCCTAAAATTCTCCAGGTGGCAAACTAAGGAGAGGCAATAAATAGCACATGGTTTAGTTAACTAATGTTTATGTTGTCTTTTAACAACTAAGAAAACAGCCAATCATATTTTGCTTTTCAGAGAGGCATCTAAACACGAAGTTAAGAGAAGTCTGGAGATGTCTGCAGTTGCTGTCTCCTAAGAGATAACAGTCCTCAATTACAAATGGAAATTGGTTTTCCAAAAACTTTCCAAAGGCACATTTATCTCGGGCAGTCAGAAATCTGGGTTTACTTCCCTTTTGCTTTCCAAACAACATCCTTAAAAAATAAAACATTAGTAAGACTACTGCAGTTAAACAAAATTTTATGACCTCAGTTGTAACTAGAAGATTAAATTATGTTTGTAAAATAGACACATCAAAAATGATTGTCTAGAAGAGGTCAACACTTTCTATTTAGAAAAAAACAACAAAAAAAATCACATGTATAATCACAATGTAACAGAAGAGTTACTATTTCTTGATTTTACATATGGCAGCCTTAGTACCTCAATACTTTAGGACATTTTAACCAGCCTTCTAGAAGGAAAAAAAGACTACTGACGGCAGAGTTCTCTTTCTGTACTGTCTCTAATCTTTTTGAAATTATTGCTTCTATTGTATGCATGTGTGTGAAAATGTTTCACTTCAATGGAAAAAAATGTCATAGAAAGTAAAAGTAACTGCAATGCTTATACAATCACTTAATTTTCAGTAGACTGCTCTACATGCAAATATTCTGCACTTCTTCCTGAGGAGGTCTCTGTTTTTTATAAATGATTACCAAATTAAATATGGGGAGAAATAAAAATAAATCTAACAGCCAGTTCTATACACTCACATTAGAATGACAGAAAAAAACCCTGAATTATCTTCTGACATACTCAGATGCAAGCCAAAGTATTTCTGTCCTATCTCACTATTTGAATATTATGGTCTTACTGATCCTTCAGCAATCCAGCATTCAAGTGGGATTTATACGACTCAATTGTTTCAGTAGAGCTTTTCGTGACATAACTGATTATTCCTGTATTTGAAGTTTAATAATCTACTTTATTTTTGATACGTTATTTTATCACTGTTAAAAACATGCTTTTGAATACATGCAGGTTGTAAGCAAACTGAAGAGAAACCGCTTCAACGCCATAATAAACATGCAGTACGTACAATTGTAATCAGTCATAATCAATCATACATAATCAGGAGAATCTTTAGATTACGTATCACTCAAGAAATATCACCTTAGTTTTGATCACTGTTAGTATTTGGAACATGTTGAGATTCTTTGCTCTCAAGAAATTCACACTATCTCAGATACTATTGCTTAATATTTCGCTTGAGACAGAAAAGCATTTGCTAAATTCTCAGACACATATTTCAACACTTCCGTAAGTACTCTATGCTACTGTAAGAAAGTAACAAAATAACATACTACAAACACAGAATTTTCCAGACACACTTAAACTTAACTCATGTCAGTATTCAGCTCTGCAAAACCTTAATTTCTGCCTCATTTTAGCCAATCTACAGTCTCCCTCTGACTATGTAACAATGCCAATATTTCATGCTCTGGCTCAAAGTCAGTGTAACCTGATACGAACACAGCCTGCCACCAAAAAGTGCAGTACCTCCCTAAAGGCTCCATACCCTGCATGCCCTTGCTCTGGCACTTTATGTTCATTTTTCCAAGAGTCAAAATGGATAAGGGAGCTGGTCTGACTGAGAACTTTTGGTTTTGGTGGTGTTATTTTTCAGCCAGATAAATGCCTGGATCTACCCCACAAGAAGAGTTACTTATTTCAAAACCTAGGCCACAGGAACTTCCAGCTTATGGAAAATAAAATATCACGTGTTCCAGCAGCAAGCTCCACCTACTTCAAGTTAAAGCGAGGAGAAAACTAGAAGCTTAAGAATTAATTTATTACAAGGAATAAAAATATCACTTTATTTTGAGCTTTGTGGTTTTATCTGAAAGAACCAAAACAAGTTGTTTCTGCTACTGATCCAACATGAATTCAAACAAATGCACACAGTGCTTAACACATATTAAATCACCAGTCCATACACTAAATGTCCAAATGAAAACAAGGTTTGGCTGCAGAAGACTCCAGGCACACACTGTAGCAAACTGACAAATAAAACCATCTTTGGGAATAATATTATTTTTAATGCAAATTTGTTGTTCAGAGCTTTCCTTCTCTATTACTGCTTATCAATTTATGTAACATATAGCAACTTTAAGTCTCTTGCATAAAAGCTGTAATTATTAGGAACTAATCAATATGCTAATTAAAAGCCAAGCCATTCTAAAGCATGACTGCAATTTGCATCTCTTCGGGCATTCATTTAAGAAATTCCTCTCAACACATAACGATGACACATCTCCTGTCTTCCCCAGCATTAGCAGATCATAATCCAGTGAGGCAAGTATGAGAATCTTAGTGATACCAATTACTCTCCACTGAAGTATTTCACCTTTACGCCCAGGTTACGCAATCTTATTGTAGCAGCATTAGTACCAAATCCAACGGACACGTAAACAAAACACAGAAAGCAGATGTTGAATACCTCAGGGAAGGTACTGTTGGTGAAGGATTGAACAGGATTCAGTAAGATTCCAATTTCTATTTGAAGTTTCAAGATCTTATCCAGGCTAAATCTCTGTAATTATCAACAATCTTCAAAAACTTTCATGAAAGTACATCTCTTTGACAAACAAAAGAGGGGAGATTTTTTTATGCTTCTGTTTACTAATCCTCTTGGCAATCCTGCCTACTAATTACTATGATCTTGTATCACATTATGGTTCTCAGCCTTTTAAAAACTGGACACAGAGATTTCCTTCAAGCAGAATGTCACGAATTTCCCAATATCAGTATTATCTTAATTTTAGGTGTAGCAGGTTAGCTCTGGTTTACCTGAACATGTACACCAACCTACTTTGTTATTAGAACTTTTAGGGGAAAAAAAAACCCCACAGCTGAAACCAAGAATCTAACTGGTAGCCAGAACATCCATCCTTCCAACTTCACAACTCATGAGGTAAATAAAAAGAGGCAAGACTGAAGCTCATCAGCAGTCATGAACGATATATTATCTTTTCCCTATTCTCAAAAAAATCTAAGCGTTAGTAGTTCTAACCAAAGAGCTCATGGTTATCATCCTTCTGCCCTTTCTCCCTCAAACTCTGGTACCTTGTTGCTCCATATTTCACCTCCCACCTGCTCTACTCCTGTGCCATACCTCTGGAGGACTGCAGAGGGAACATAGCACTTTTTTTAGGTGCTGCTATGCATGGTCTTGGCTTCCATCTACCTTCTGCAAAACCAAGAACAGAGATTGTGTGGCTCTTCTAAACTCAGTTTAAATTAGCTAAGAAGAAAAAATGATCCTGGACTCTTTTCTTGCTGTTCGCTAACACAGAAATGTATATACACATACCTGATTCTCACACTGAGGAGACATTTCAAAGCACTTTCTAAAACAGACTAGCTGGATTCAGCACTTATATGCAAATGGCCACCAGGCAAACAAAACAAACATTTCCCACAGGAAAGCCCCTTTTAACATCAACTAATCAAAACAAGGTATGTAAAAAATAAATTGAAGACCAAATAGTAATTTGGCAGGATACTTCTCTGAACAGAGAATATCACTCTTCAGTTACATGTGTTTCTATCGTAAATCTATGCTACAAACATATTACAAACAGACTAAAATACCTGGAAAAGGCCTCAAAAGTTTCAAATTTATTATGCAAATGAAAATATAATGATAATGCTCTCTCACTAACATATTTCAAAGACTTAATATAACCCCTAAACCTGTTTTCTACTGTATTTAGAAAGGAACATCTAACACTACAATAATGCCACCAAGTGTCTCACAGAGTAGTAGTCCTTTAGATGAAGGTCTTTGTTATGGACACTCAACATTTTCAAGTCAATCAACTTTGAAAGCATTCCTTGCAGA